GGCATACAGGACTAGACAACATTTTATAGACCAATCGCCCCAAGATGGATGATATGGTCAGATTCACGCCGGCCGCCTTTACTTCCCGAGATTGCACCCGGCACCCACTCAAGGCTAGGTCGACTTGGGAGCCAATGTCATTTTTTTACAAAAGTCTGGCTCCGCCAGCGAGTGAACCCACGACCTTCCATACCACAGGCGAACGTCTAGCCGTTCCGCCCATGCGACTCCCAAATCACAATTGGTAATAAAATTTTAAAAAATTTGACAACGTTATAAATAAACGCAAATATACTTTACCTGCCCCAAAAATAAACATTTAAAAAAACGGAAGTCAAATAGCAAGAGAGCATCAAACAATCGCTATAAAAGATCAAAGATTGAAACAAGAAGCGTAAAGTTTAAAACAAATTCAACACTGGGAAACATCTTTACTTATGATGATGGAAGAGACAGATAGTTTGAAACAAGTAGCCAACAGTGTCACGAATCAGACGACCTCTATTTTAAAACACTGGCAATAAAGTCAAAAAGACAGATTGTGAAAACAGTCTTCACACTAACCGTGTGTTATCAGTGTCCGACTTAGACATTGACTAAAGAACATAAAAGAGAACTGATCAGCTGCGAAATTAGATGTTTGAGAAAGGCTGTGGGAAAAAAACAACCGAAAAGATATCATGCGAGAAACGAAGAATTTTACAAGAACTATTGGAACAACATGAGGATATACACACATCAGACGAAGTAATCGACTTACCCACATTAAACTAAATACTACTTGCTGGCGACAAGTGCTTGTTTCACCCTGAAGAAGATGAGACTGCAGGACCATATTCTTCTTCTTCTTCACTTCCTCTTTTACCGCTGTGGGTGTCGAGGGAGATATAAGGTTCTGTTTCTAGCTCTTCTGGCTGCCTCGACCATAGGTACATCGTGCTGTTGTAGAGTTTCTCTGATGTTATCCTTCCATCTTGTTCTTGCTCTACCCCGTGTTCTACGTCCTTCTTCTCTTTCCATGTATGCTTTGTATGGTATGGTGTCACAAGGCATTCTCTCTAAGTTGGCAAACCATTTCACTTGCTGTCTTTGTATGTAATCCAGAATTGGTTCTGTGCCGACTTGTTCTCTTATGATCTCATTCCTGATCTTATCTCTTATGGTCACTCCTACAGCCCTTCTCAGACATCTCATTTCCTTGGTTACTAATTTTCTTTTATGGTTTGTTGTGAGTGACCATGTCTGGCACTGGTAGCACAGAGTTGGAATAAATATGCTTTGAATAAGATGTCTCTTTGTGCTGATTGGGATTGTCTTATGCTGTAAGAGGGAGCTAGCTGTCTCAATACTTGGTTTGCTTTACTGCATCTAAAGTCAATTTCTGTATCCAATTTCCCATCTTCGGTAAATGTAGTTCCCAGATATTTAAACTCAGATGCCTGTTTAATGCCTCTGTATTCTATTGCTATGTTTATATCTGTCTTCTTTTTTCATATTGACATTACTTCTGTCGTTTCAGTGTTGATTCTCATATTATTTGTTTTACATTCTTCATTCATGGATGTTAGATGTTGTTGCAATTTCACAGCTGTATCTGCTATTAAGGCCTGGTCATCTGCAAAGAGTAATTCGTTGATCTTACTAAGATCTTCATTCATGGGCTTGGTATTCTTGCATATACTGTCGATGTAGGTGATAAACAGCAGTGGTGATAAGACACACCCCTGTCTTACTCCATATGTCACTGTGAAAGGATGAGATTTTCCCTGATTTATTCTAACTACACTTCTACAATCCCTGTATAAACTTTTGCACACTTCCATATCTTGCCATTATTTTCCATAATAATTGTCTGTCGACTCTGTCAAATGCCTTCTCCTGGTCTACGAACGCCACAGATAAGTTCTTATTGTATTCAATGTTCTTTTCTATAAACTGTTTTAGTGTGAAGATTGCATCTGTGCAGCTTCTATTTCTCCTAAATCCCATCTGTTCTTCTGTCAGCTGTGCAGGACCATATTAACAGGTTAAATCTAGCATGCAATAAATACAACATGAAGATCAATGCAAACAAAGCCGAAACAATGCAAGTTAGTAGAACCCCTGCCCCACTACAAATACCGCTAAATGGTTCTGGTTTGGTTTAAGTCAGGGAAATTAAATATATAGAAAGTAGGCCTATGATCACGAAAGATGGTAGAATTGACAGAGAAATAGAAACCAGGTGTCAGAAAGTAAATGCACTTATATACCCATTGTCACCATTGTTGAGACACCCAAACATTACTATGAGTGCAAAGAGACAGATTATAAACAGCATATTCATTCCAAAATTACGCTACAAGTGCCAAACATGGAGATCGAGTGAATAATGAAACTGTCAGACAAATTGTGGGAACGACACCTTGTGCTAGATTCATCAAAAACAAGGGATCAAGTAGTTTGTTGATCTCGCTAGAATGCAGCATGATCAAATACCACCACAGGTACTACATCTCAAGTCATCTGCTAGAGCAAGAGGGCGGACGAGAATACATGGATCGACAACATTAAAGACACCCTACGCCTTCACAGCATGTCAATAGCCAGTGCCAACCAGCGTGCACCGAATCGCAATTTATTCCTCCCCACTACGCTTAATGCAGAAGTGGTTTGTGATGATAACTATGATTGGAACAACACCTATAATTAGATGAAGTGAAAAACAAAAGCTCAGGTGGTTTGATCATTTAATTAGAACGAATCCAGTGATCTCAGAAACAATATTTTAGTAGTAATACCAAGAGAATATGGGGGGGGGGGGAACAAGAAGAATACGGATCGAAGGAGTTACCACAGCATACTGGACATATAAATGTGCCCTACTCGGATATTAATCATGAGGTCATCTGCGACGCCTAGTGGCACAAAGCATAATGTGGACAAAATACATTAAAAAAAAAAGAATACACAGAAAGTAAGTGGACACGATCATACACGTGTATTTCTCAGAGTCATACATCAAATCGCATGGTTGTTCATTGTAAAGAGGCTAGCTTGAAACAAATATCCCACAACCAATATTGACAGGGAATCTTGCTAACGTTCAACACTCAATGGAAAGGCGAGACGCATATACAATCAAACAGTTACTGGTGGCATCGGAATTTGAACTTTTCGCTTCGAGCTGAAGATAGAGACGAAGCGCTTACATGAGTATCACGAGTGCTGCGATGTCGATTCTTAATTCAACATTTAACAATACTGGCATAATCAGTTAGACTCCAGCTGCAAACAGACTGGCAGCAGACCGCTTGACATTGATCAGCGCCGTAACTGGCTATGATGCAGTCGCATCAGTCGGCAACTTATAGGGGTCAGCATTAACAGCGAAATCAATATTTTGAACTTTTGATCTGACTGCGTGAAGCTGTTAAGGGGCGGTATTTCGAAGACTTACATCATACTGAAGAAATCTACCGCACAATGGTATGGACCGTCCATCTTTTGCAATGACAAACTCACCATCATCCTTTAGCAGGTCCTCTGCAGAACGTCACTGGCATCGCGGTCTGTCTAAAAGAAATTTAGTCTCTCGCCAGCTCTCCTGCCTCGTGCAATTTCATGTTTAAGGAGTCGCTTACATCCTGTGCCCACCTTTATGTTGGTCGGTCTCTGCCTTCCCTCCCCTTTTCCTGACACAATGCCTTCTGCTATTATTTTTTCCCAGTCCGCCACGGTGATTGACATAAACACAATATTTAAGCTTCTGTGACGAGATGCTGATTATTAGCCGATCTTTGTGGATGTTCAGATCGTTTAAAATGTCAGTATTTCTTCTCTTCTTTGTCCATAGTTTTCTGATAATCTTGCTATAGCATTTCAGCTCAAAAGCCCGTATTTTCTATCTTAAAACCTGGCAGATAGTCCACGACTCAAATCCGTATGTTGCTAAAGGGAAGCTATATGGTCTCAGAATTTTAACTGATTCCCTTGCAGGTGCTTAACCATAGACTTTTACTGTTGTTTCATCTTTGTATTGCTAAGGCTATAATTCTTTTGTATTCTGCGAACATTCTTCATTGCTATTTATTATGGAGCCTTTTATTTAAAGTGTGTGACATTTTCAATGTAATGGCAAACTACTGAACGTAAAACTATCTAGTAAAATCATACAGCCAGAATATGCCTGGACTGGTTCTGTAACGTCCTGTTAAGGATACGCCACTAAATAAGAACAAATCAGGATGCAAAAGGTTGTAACCAAGCACTAGCACTGTTGTTCTTAGTCTAGGATAAACGTGGACTGGAAAAAATAATCAAAACAGGCTGTTTATTTTTTTTTGTTGTTGTGCTTGAACGTTGATCGAAAAAGTAACATCCCAGCATTCCGGATATTCCCGTAAGCGCTCCATTTTTCTATTTGAAGTTACGGAAAGTCGCTGGATTGTTTTTTAAATAAGTCGACTTCAGTATAAGAGTGTATGCTTATTGGAAAGGTGGGGGGGGGGGGGGGGGGTGTGAAGGAGGCAGAGCTCCCCTTTAGGACTGGAAGGGGGGGGGGGAGGCTCCACTAACCTTAACCCTAAGGTTTCGGCTCCTATGAACATGCAGACTGTTGGTTTCTTCCCTATCAGGCAGACGCACTCTGACTTGGAAGACAATATCCCTAATTAGTTGTTTTGTACGGCCTTCTTGTTAGGGGGTATATAACCCCCCCCCCCCCCCCCCCCACACTTCCTATTCCAAATCACACCACGGAACTCACATGACGAAACAACATATGAAAATGGCTATTTGAAAAAAAAAAAAAACCAGTATGTATGGACTAATTTATTTTGGACTGTATCAGCATGGAACCAATCAGCACCACGGAAATGCAAACAACGTCTGCTACAGAAGTTGTAAACAAGAACTCGGACCGTCCTCGGTGTTTACATAATTATTCCTTTTTAATTTATCGGTATTGATTTACTCCAATAGAACGAGAAATAAGTAGATATTGTCTTCAACTGGACATCATGTGCCTTCTAGATCTTCCAACCGAACTACTCCAGTATATAGCATCGTTTCTGCCAGCGGAGTCCCTGACATGTTTGAGTAAAACTTGCAGACAACTGCACGAGATAACTGCGATAGATTCTCTGTGGCAGGCGCTTTCATTTCGAGGTAATGTATCTATAGCAGTGTTTGAAGTTATCGTAATTAGCCATGGAATATGTGTGTCGTCGAGCAGACGGAAACACGGATAAGAGTATAGTAGTGCCTAGTAGTACTAGTACGGAAACAATACTAAAAGTATAGTTAGTGTAGTACTACTACTACTATACTTTTATTATTGTTTCCGTACATTAGTTGTAGTACTAATGGTACAAACTGAATAAATTGATTAATGGTAGCTTACATTGTAGTACCTTCACAACACCTGCTGCTACAACTACTACTGCTGTTGCTGCTTCTACTACTACTGCTGCTACTGCTGCTGCTACTACTGCTCCTACTACTGCTGCTGCTGCTGCTACTACTAATACTGCTGCTGCTGCTACTGCTGCTGCTTCTACTGCTGCTGATGCTGTACTGCTACTGCTGATGCTACTACTGCTACTGCTGCTACTACTACTACTGCTGCTACTACTACTACTACTACAAGTATATAATATTAGTAAAAAAGACAAACAATAAATGTAGTATTAAAAATTTTTTTTTTACCAACATTGTGTTACTGTGCTAAACCTGGTCACTAACAATGGAACAAGAGCAGAAACTAATAACGTGTGAAATAAGATGTTTGAGAAAAGCAGTCAAAATAATAATAAGAGACCATAAAAAAAACAAAAATAAGCTCTCCTTTAAATAACGGTAGCTAGCTGGAAGGCGACGGCCGCTTAGTCTGAGTTAACTCCCTTGGCTACAGTGCAAATATGGAGCGGCCAAGTCACGAATCAAAAAACAAAGTGAGGTCGACATGCCTGCTAGAGCTAGACCACGCGCTGCGACTGACAGTAGCGACCGCGGTATTGCGACGCAAGACTCTTGTAGACCACGCGCTGCGACTCACATTAGCGACCGCGTTCTTCCGACGCATGACTTAGTGACCATAAATGTGAGACCTGTGGATCTGTATGTCGTAATGAGCGATAAGCTTCCGTCGTTTCCGTGATGTGTCACCCTAACCCTACCCCAAACCCAAACCCTAACCCTACCCCTAACCCTACCCCAAACCCAAACCCTAACCCTACCCTAACCCTACCCCACATCCTAACCAAAGCTCTAAGCCTAACCCTAGGATGACAGGTAATTATATCATTTGTTTCGTTCCCTCTTTACCACTCCGTATTTGCACTGCAGCCAAGGGAGTGAACTCTGACTAAGCGACCGTCGCCTTCCAGCTAGCGACCGTTACTTAAAGGAGAGCCCAAAAATATCATTAGACTTGTGGGAACAACATCTGTAATTAGACTGATTGAGAAACAAAGACCACACCTGGTCAGAATGAACCCAGCATAACCGGTTGCAAGAGCATACAAAATGAGAATAGAAACTTCAAGAGGCAGAGGATGACCATAAAAAAATGGATAGAAGGAGTTAACAACTTGCTGAAACACAACAATATCACTATGTAGCTAGCCAACGAGCGCACACTATCCTGGAAACCGATCATTAGCCATGCCTGTGACGTCTTAAAGCATTAAGCGCAGAAAGACAATAGATATAATTATTATAAGTTCTTATGTAACAGTGGCAGTATAAGCAACAGTATTTATTTATTAGTATATCTTGTTCAGTTATTTTGGGTAATAATGGAGAAATATAGTCTGTTTTAGATAACATATGTTTATGTAATAATTTTTATTCTAGTTAATCACAACTTATATGTTTTGTTGTTGTTGCATTATCTTGTTCCTAGATTATGGAGTTAACAGTAACCAAGGCTGGAACCTTACTTACAAGGAGATATATACTAAAGGTATGTAACTATAAGGCTTTCATTTTAATATTGTAACTCTTTCTGTAGCAGGAAATTAGCTTTTTTTTACGTTATGTGCTTCTTAATGTGCCATATTTGATCCCAGCTGCATGTGATTTGGTACCAGACCACTTTGTGTTGGTTTTGACGGTGTTATAGAGAGTAAGCCGTTGAGAAAGCAATTGCAAAGACAAACTGCTGGATGTAAAATTGCCTGGCAAAATGACAACAGCCCCAAAATACTATGGTTGGTTCTGCAACATTCTATATCATATAAATATATATAAAGGATTTGGAACAATTTTTAATTTTTATTTAATTTTATCAAAATTGACGTCACTGCGCTCCCATACGATCTCAGTTCTCCATTGCAGCAGCCGCTCCAAGGTACCTCTACAAATTGTTCCCACGAGGAGCTGGTTATAATCGTCTCCTATCTCAGTCTCCAAAGTGGCATAGATGTGCTTCGTCGTGCTTTACTCCCATATCACGCAAATGTGTTAGTGTCATAGATTTGTCATTATCCACTTACATTGTCCGTACAGCATGATGATATCTGCTCTGTCCATGCTTTTCCCACATGCATTGGTTAATTGCTTGCTGACTGGTCTCTTCGTTCATGATCTTTCATGCGGTCTTAGCCAGGTTTATAGATCTAGATGAGAGAGGTTAATTTGAATGTTGAATTAAGAATTGACATCACAGCACTCGGGACACCCCCATAAGTGCTCCGTCCACATCTTCAGCAGCAAAAAACTCTCCAAAGAGTTGCAATTCCAATGGCACCAGTAACTATCTGTATATCCGCCTCGCCCCTCCCCTGAGTGTTGAGCGTCTGTCAGATCCCCTGGTTATTCCTCGCAGCGGCATTCTTCTCAGACCATAATGATCTATCTGTGTCTCTGCACTGTTCATCCAAAGGGCCTTCACAATATTTAGCTTGTCATACATCAATTCACCACCAAGTGGTGTAGTCGGCCAGTCTATCTGCCTGCTCATTTCCCAACACACCAGCATGATCTGGAGAAGTGGACACTTAAATCTTCCACCTGTTTGTTAAAATTAATGGAGTATGCTAAAATGTGTTATTAGCATGTCATTTTATACAAACTTGTGACTTGTGATACAACATTGTGACTTGTGATACAACATTGTGACTTGTGATACAACATTGTGACTTGTGATACAACATTGTGACTTGTGATACAACTTGTGACTTGTGATACAACATTGTGACTTGTGATACAACATTGTGACTTGTGATACAACTTTGTGACTTGTGATACAACATTGTGACTTGTGATACAACATTGTGACTTGTGATACAACATTGTGACTTGTGATACAACTTGTGATTTTTGTCTGGAGTGCAGTGACAGTGAGGAAAGTTTTTGCATACAGGACTGCCAAGATTGTTTATTTTTTATCAAATTGCTTTTTACAGACTGCACTGGCGGTAAATAGGATATCAGTCAATGTTTATTGCTTCTCTATTGATTGTACATTGTAGTTGTTTTATTTACCGTATATGTGTTCTCCAAACATCTGCTGTAATACTGGCAATTTCAACAGCTGTCTTCTAAATACCATTATATATTTTATCTTGTCTGCGTCTGCTTCGTACCACTGGTATCACAGTTTAACAGATGATACACCGCCAAGCCAGGGCTTACTTAGTTGCTTGGTATGTTCTGATGTGAAATTTCTCCTAAAGATAAAATTAATGAAGGTTATCCACTTTTGTACTTAGAGCATAATAAAGTTTAACAGATATGACTCATTTGCATACAGCTGTTGGTTCCTTACCTCTCAGGCAGGTGCACTGACTTTGAAGGAAGCTCCCAATTAGTCGACTCTTACAACATGCTTTTGGGTAGGCAGTGGGTCTATTCTTGTTTTCCCTACAATAGGGCCCCAGAACCCACAGGGGGAGAAGAAATTCAATAAGCTCATTTTAGGAGAAAAGTAATAGACCTCACTGCTCCTGACAAGCATAAAGGGGAACTAATTGTGTCTATCTATCTATCTACTTTTACCCCACCAGGACATCACACAAGCGATAAACACCCGATGACACAAAGTGCATCATGTGGATGAGGATCACCTGTGGAGAGGTCAGGAAAACCGCGTTCAGTCATTAGACCATATTTATGGCCGGGCTATATTGCGGCCCCTGGCAAGAGCCAGAGTAGAGCTTCCAATAACGAAAACTTGCATCTCACCAGGAGATGACCAGATTTTTTACTAATTGTGGTTTTGCTGAAATCAGATGTACTGGTCTAAAAGGTACAGATTTGGCAGGCTTACTCACCCTGATAACATGGTATACTAGGACTGAAAAGACTTGCTCTTATTCCTTATGGTGGACTGGTCAATGTATGTGTAAGTATGTTTTTTTTTAAAATCATAAATATTTGATTGATTTTTGTGGAGCATTCTTCAATCATTACCAAAGAAATGAAATGAAAGATGGTAATATACTTAGTCATAAGCGAATGAAGCTGGCAATATATTGGGTAGATGATAAGAGAGCATAGAATCACCAAATAGGCACTCAAATAAGAAACAAATAGAACACAATATGAGTTTCATATTCATGCCAGGGTATGCAAGGGATGGAGGAAGGTGGTGGGGTGGGGTGGGGGGGGGGGGGGGGAAGGAAAAGTACAAGCTGCTAGGCTTGCAGGTAAAGCCAGTAACCAGGCTGATAATCTGAACGCTGTACTAAAAATAAGATTTTTATGAGAACCAGGAGATGTCTTTGAATTTGCAACAATGACCAGACTGCAAGAACAGCCTGTTATAAGGAGTGTGGCCAGACAAGAGCACTATGCAGGAAGCCTAAGCAGAATAAGAAAAAAAAAAAGTGAACGAGTGTCCTCAGCCACTACACACAGCGGGATTTACTGAGGAGGGGATCCAAGCACTAATGGACTGAATGATTTGATCTGCAGTGAGGATAATCTGTCAGCTAACCAACTAATCAACCAACCAGCCCCAAACAACCATAGACTGCGATGTCTCTCAGGGTTCCCCAGAGCTTAGTTGTCAGGTCTACTGGGTGTGGCCACATGCTGTTTCGCAGCTCTTCCAAGAGAGGACAGTCTTGCAAGACATGTTATAAGGTCTGTTCAGCATGAAGATACTGACAGAGAACAGTTTGGCTCATACCTAATTCATGTGAATGCTAGCTGAGTCTGCAATATCCAGTACATAAGTGAAAAATGGTAACTTGGTCAGTTCTGTTTGAGGTTTTGAGCAATGGATCAACATCATGGCACACGGGTAGTAACCCACAAGTGTTCCCTTCTTTTTCTAACTCAAGTCTGAGTCAGAAGAAGCTCAGCACAGTGCACAGGCTCTGTAGCACCGGCGAGGATTCTGAAATACTTTTGGTAGATTTTAACTCCTCATTTTGCCCGGGCAGCACGTTAGGCTACTTTTTTCTATTTTCAACTGCCAAGGGATTTTTTATGTGTGCAACAATGCATCCGATCTCCCTACCCAGAGACCAGGAAGAATTACTAGAAGTCCAAGTCCACGTGAAAAAATCCCAGCCCTTACTGGGAATTGAACCCGGAGCCTCTAGCACTCGAGACCACGCAGCCCCCCAGTTCTGTTTGTATAACAGCATATGGCTAGACTATAATGAAAGTAGCAATATGTTTGAATGACTGTAACCTTTCTGTTCCCAGTGGGGCCATGGTGAGATCCAGGTCAACCGCTACATGTCTAGGCCTGAGGATCATCCATCGTCAAAACTGTCAAGTTATCAGATGTTCTCCCTGCGATGGAATGAGACACTAGGAGATATTGAAGTTTTTTGTGTCCAGTGTCCATCAGGGGCTAGACCAGCCATACTGCTTCAGGTAAATTTTGCAGGTCCTTTGCAGAACATCGCTTTTATCACAGTATACCTGAAATAAACTCAGTCTTTTGCCAGCTCTCCCGCCTCGTGTACTGAATGTTGAATGTTGATTTAATAGTCAATATCACAGCGCTCGGGACACTCCTATAAGTTCTCAGTCTCCATTTTCAGCAGCAAGCAAAGAGTTCCAATTCGGATGGTACCAGTAACCATCTTATTGTATTTCTGTCTCATCCTTTCCCTGAGTGATGAGCATCGGCCAGATCCCCTTATAACTCCTCACAGCGCCATTCTCCTTAGTCCATAATGACCTGTCTGAGCCTCCACACCCTCATGTACTTTTATATTCAAGGAGTCACTTGTATCCTGTGCCCATCTTTCCTGGTACCATGCATTCTGTTATTCTTTTTTCCAATCCACTATGGTGCTTGATATGTCCAAAATATTTCAGCTTCTGAGACAAGATGCTGTTTATTAGCCAAACTTCCTTGATTTTCGGATCTTTTAGCATGTCAGTATTTCTTCTTTTCTTTGTCCATGGTATTCTGATAATCTTTCTATAGCATTTCAGCTCAAAAGCACCTATCTTCTTTCTTAAATATTGTGAGATAGTCCACAACTCACGTCCGTATGTTCCTACAGAGAAGATACATGCTCTCAGAATTTTAATTTTGAGTTCCTTGAAGGTGCTTAACCATAGACTTTTAACGCTGTTTAATCTTTGCATTGCTATGGCCATCCTACTTTTGATTTCTGTTATATAGTCTTCATTGTTATTCATTGCAGAGCCTAGATATTCAAAGTTTGTGAAATTTTCAATTTCTTCATCATTTATTGTTATTTTTAGGTGACAGCCTGTGAACATTGTTTTCGTGTTTTTAAAATCCAGGATAGGTTTTAAACTTCACTGTGTTTTTGGACAGACATAATTAAATGAACATATCTTATGCTGATTTATAACTGTCAAGTGTCCGCCTGTACCTGTTTTTAAATCTTTTTCTTCTTCTCTTCCTTCTCTTTTTCTTCAGTCCTTCTGTCAGAAAACTGTTATTAGGAGGCTGATAGCTTTTATAAAAGTATTGTGCTGTCAAAACTTCTCTGTGTGCCATACCACTTTGTCTTCCTTGAGGTTTGAATAGACCAGATTGCGTCGCTGTTAGCAGCATACAGCTGACATTGTAAGAGCCCATGCTCAGCATTTTGCAGTGCCAAGTTGCAGGGACATATCTCTGTGTTTCCTACACCAGAAAATGTAAACATATATTGGTGAAGTGTGATATGCCCAGTCCTTAGTCTGAATATAACACACTGTTTCTCTGACAGTGATCTTGTCTTGCCAGGTGTATTCTTCATAGGCATCACATGTGAAAGCAGTTTAGCTATTTCTGCTGGTACGAGTTTATTGAGGGAAACAAAAAAGATAGATTGACAGTTTAAAAAAAAGAGTGCTAACATAAATGACATAAAACAGAGTGCCTTGAATGCTAGAAAGGGGGGGGGGGGTGTCAAGTAGTAAATTTCTATAAATAAAAAAAAAATAAAAAAAGATTTAAAAAAAAAAAAACTGGTACTTGTGTGGGAAGCTAAGAATAGTGATAATGTAGCCTACGGTGTGTGATGTAAATGGGGATTAGTTAGTTAGTGAAGGTTCCAGCATCACTGGAGATGGGTCACCCCATCGAGGCTCCATTCCCGTGGCAGTGGAAATCACACAAAATGTCCTTCACTTTCCCATTTTGAAAACTAGGGAAAAACTTGACAGTCCTAGCAAAATTCTGAAGCTTGCACATGCAGAGTAAAAATGGATAAGGCAGCAGTCACCGTTGACAACATTGATGGTCCTACACCAGAATTGCAATTCACTTCTAGCATCATAGTTACTAAAACAGTTACTGTAGCAGTACTCTTATATTCCTTGAGGATCCCTGGCGATTTTGATGTATAATATGTGTATGTTGCACTGCAGCTGTATCAGTATAGGTAAAGTAAATGACCTTTTTCCACGCCTTTAGACGTATAGGGCATATAGGGCTAGACCTATATTTTATAGATCAATCCGCAAAGATGGGTGATGTGGTCAGCATCACACTGCCGCCTTTACTTCCTGGGACTGCACCCGGTACCCACTCAAAGCTAGGTCGACCTGGGAACCAAGGTAATTTGTGAAAAAAGTCTGGCTTCACCAGGGAGTGAACCCACAACTTTCCGATCTGTGGCGAGCATTTATATAGATTATAATTTAATTACCACCCATTGGTTCTCTGATGCTAAACACCCTTGCACTGAAAGAGTTAAAATGAACTGGAAAAAGAGTGAATTTGAGATAAAAGTTTATAGAGTCTACCTTTGGCTCATAAGTTATCTGGTTTGAATTTTAGTGTAGGGGTGCAAATTATAACAATAATTTGGCTTTTAAAAAATATACGTAAAGCATAAGTAGGAAGGCAGTATGCTTGTACCGCTGTTTCAAGAATAGTTAGTTTGTCCATTAGTTAGCCTTTCCTCTTGCGCCTAAGGTTGTGCATAAGGCAGAGGTCATAGCTCTCCATGTTTGGTGGTTCATTGTCACCTAGTTTACGTCTTGGATATTCTTTAGGCACACAGTTGAGCCTTCCCTGATGATGGTCTTACGCAAAGTCTCTCTTGGCCTTCCCCTTTATGTCAAGAATACTTGTTTAAAAAAAGAAAAATTGGTTTTAAAAACTATCTTCATCATCATCTTCATCATCATCATCATTCCATAACATTACATGCCATTAGAACACTAGTTTCTGTTGACTGTCTGATCAGCTCTCTCCACTTTTGGCAGTCAGTTGCGATGGACTTCATGGTTGCATGCCTAAGGCCTGTCCAGCCAGTCAGGTGCTGTAACAAGGTCCTTCTTGGTCTGCCTCTTCTCCTCTTTACTGAGCCCTGCAGTATTGTTTTTGAGAGGCCGTTAGATCTTATTACATGTCCATACCATGTCAAGAATACTTGTTTAAAAAAGAAAAATTGTTTTTTAAAACCATCTTACAGGCTGGTAACTGTCCATTACTGCGATGCGTTGACAGGGACTGCAACATTTCTCATATATTCAAGGTATAAGTCTGTTGTGTGTGTAAACTGAATGTGGTTGGAAGACCTCTGTGATTGTTAATCTGAGAGGCTGTGGCAGGCTGACAGTTTGTACACCTGAAACGTAGAAAGGCAAAAGTAGTAAAATAATTTTAATTAAATCAAAATCTATGGTTAAACACCAACCAGGAAATCAAAGTCAAAATTTTGAGAGCATGTGTCTTCCCTATAGCTACATATGGATGTGAATCGTGGACCATCTCGCAATCCTAACAGAACAAAAAAATTGGGGATTTTGAGCTGAAATGCTATTTAAAGATTCTCAGAATACCACGGACAAAGAAGGAAAGAAATACTGACATCCTAAACGATCTGATCATCAGAGAAGATTGGCTAGTTCATAGCATCTTGTCTTGGAAAATGAAATATTTAGGCCAAATCAAGGCCACAGTGCATTACGAACAGAAAAAAAATGATTAGCAGAAGGCATGGTACAGGAAAGAATGGCAGGGGTATACCAGCAGAAAAATGGCCAAAGGATATAAGCGACACCTTGGATAGGAAAATAAGTGAGGCGGGAGAGCTGGCAAGCGACCGAGTTTCTTTCAGATAGACTGTGATGAGAGCAGTGTTCTGCAGCGTGATGTTTTCCTACATGATGTTCTGCTACATGATGTTCTGCTGCGTGATGTTCTGCAACATGATGTTCTGCTACATGATGTTCTGCTACATGATGTTCTGCTACATGATGTTCTGCTACATGATGTTCTGCTACATGATGTTCTGCTACATGATGTTCTGCTACATGATGTTCTGCTACATGATGTTCTGCTACATGATGTTCTGCTACATGATGTTCTGCGACACAATGTTTTGCGACACGATGTTCTGCTACATAATGTTCTGCTACATGATGTTCTGCTACATGATGTTCTGCTACATCATGTTCTGCTACATGATGTTCTGCTGCACGATGTTCTGCTACATGATGTTCTGCTACATGATGTTCTGCTACATGATGTTCTGCGACACAATGTTCTGCGACACAATGTTCTGCTACATGATGTTCTGCTACATGATGTTCTGCTACATGATGTTCTGCTACATGATGTTCTGCTACATGATGTTCTGCTACATGATGTTCTGCTGCACGATGTTCTGCTACATGATGTTCTGCTACATGATGTTCTGCTACATGATGTTCTGCAACATGATGTTTTGCTACATGATGTTCTGCTACATGATGTTTTGCTACATGATGTTCTGCAACATGATGTTTTGCTACATGATGTTCTGCTGCGTGATGTTCTGCTACATGATGTTCTGCAACATAATGTTCTGCTACATGATGTTCTGCTACATGATGTTCTGCTACATGATGTTCTGCAACATGATGTTCTGCTACATGATGTTCTGCAACATAATGTTCTGCTACATGATGTTCTGCAACATGATGTTCTGCTACATGATGTTCTGCTACATGATGTTCTGCTACATGATGTTCTGCTACATGATGTTCTGCAACATAATGTTCTGCTACATGATGTTCTGCGACACAATGTTCTGCTACACGATGTTCTGCTACATGATGTTCTGCTACATGATGTTCTGCTTCATGATGTTCTGCTACATGATGTTCTGCTACATGATGTTCTGCTACATGATGTTCTGCGACACAATGTTTTGCAACACGATGTTCTGCAACATGATTTTCTGCAACATGATGTTTTGCAACATGATGTTCCGCTGCATGATGATGAATAAAAACAACAATTAAGCATAGAGTCAGGTGTTCCAAAGGAGTGGGGGAAAAGAAAGACCGCAAATTATGTGGATTCAAGATGGGGTTAATAGTCTGCACACAACAACAGGTGAGGCAGAATATCAGAATTATGTTAAATGTTGAATAAAGAATTGACATAACAACACTCCCATAAGAGCTCAGTCCCCATCTTCAGCAGCAAGTGAAGAGTTCCAATTCTGATGGTACCAGTAACTTTCACATCATACTTTTGATAAAGAGGAATTTTGAAAGACTATTATGTGGGCAGATTTTTCTAAAATAGAAGCTGCAGGATGTTGATATTTGCTATCAAAGAATCAAACATGAACAAGTTTACCGATTTAAGTACCAGAAGATTTTTTTTTTAACACTTAAGAAGATAACAGATGCAGTGAAAAGAGCATGCGTGTATTACTTTCAAAGAGGCAACATATACTGTGCTGTTAATTAACATATCTAGCCTGATTTATTTAGTATGGTCCAAAATATTTCAGCTTCTGAGACAGGATGCTGTTTATTAGCCAGTCTTCCTTGATGTTCAGATCTTTCAAGATGTCAGTATTTCTCCTCTTTTTCGTCCAAGATGTTCTGAGAATCTTTCTATAGCATTTCACCTCAAAAGCCCCTATTCTCTTTTTTAAGGACTGAGAGATAGTCCGCAAATAACATCCGTATGTTGCTACAGGGAAGATGCATGCTCTTAAAATTCTAATTTTGATCTCCTTGCTGTTGCTTAACCATAAACTTTTTAGTATAAAGACATAGTGTAAAGTGAAGTAAAGACCTTTTTAATGTTTTGAGTCATGTTGAGAAATGGTGCTTTCTTTTTATTTTTTAGAGTAATCAGCTCTCTAGAATGTTCTTGCGCTGGAAATTACAGTCAGAGAAGTAAGAGGAGACACAAAATATATGAAGATTATGATTAGAGAATGAGATGAAAAAGGTACAGATGGCATAAGTTGAGCTTCATGCAACTGCAAATAAAAGTGCAACTTTGTGCGAGTTAGTTGATGGACTTATTTACATTGGGGATTAACCAAATTGTCCAGTAGGTGCTAAAAATTGGGTCATGATCTCTTGACATTTTGTTCCCACCAATCTACCTCAGTACCTTTAGCATTCATGTCCTGCTTGCATACATCTTTATGTTGTAGTAGAAGCTGGCCTGAACATCTTTATAGACAACTTAAGCAGAAGAGATTTTGTCATCATCATGTGCCTTGTAAGCGGGCAAAGACATTCATACATCTCCACAGATCTTGGTCTTTGGTGTTCTAGATAGATTCTACTGATGATATTTCCCCAAGCCACTGTCTTAAGCCATCCACCACCATTTCTCTTGGTGTGTCGCTGCCTCTCCTACCAGTGATCTTTTCAGTGCTTCTTTTCTCATCAAATGACCAAAGAACTTTGTTTCCTTCTCCTTGTTGTATATAGTATTCTACTTTCATTAGCTATTTTCAGGCAATCATTGTTAGTTATTATGGCAGTCCAAGGTATTCATAACGTTCTTCTCAAGAACCACATCTCAGTTGCCTGCAAGCTTTTCTTAATTTGTTTGCTCACATTCCAAGATTCGCTGCCATCGGAAGAGGTTTAGTTCTGATAATTGACCTGTTGAATTTGTATATTGACAGGAAGTGCGGCATGGCCAGTCTGACCAGCGATTTAAATGTGGCTTTGATGATCATCCGGATGCATTCATTAAATTTAACTTGAACAAAGGGTAATACATTTTCTGTAGGTAATTTCTTCACTATCATAATCTTCGTTCCTGGTGTGGGTTCCGTGGCCCTATTGTGGGGAGGAATAGAATAGACCCACTGCCTTCTAACAGCATGTTATAAGAGTTAACTAATTAGGGAAGTTTCCTTCGAAGTCAGAGTGAATCTGCATGATGGCTTTGGAACCAACAGTCTGCATGCAAATAAGCCAGATCTGTAAAATGAATGTGCCTGCAAATCTGGTCAAGGCTAAAGTGAAGTAGTGGACGAACAACCAGAACTTTTTGCAGTTTACAGGTGGCGAACATGAAAAATAAGGAGATCCTCATATTGTTCCACTCACTCTCACAAAAGTCCAGGGGAAAGATCTTACAAGTTGTCCTACCTGATTCATTTCATACCAGTGTCTAGTGTGTTAGTGTGCTGTGTCCATGTTTATGTTGGTTGTCTCTGGTTCTTCTCTCAGGTGCTTTGTATTCTGCTGTTGTTCTTTTTTAAGTTATTGAACATGAAATAAAGAAATTATGATACACATTGGTAAGGCACCAGGAGATATTAATTGCCTGAAAAATATAGCACTCTAAATTGTATAGTTTTAGAACTAAGTTCCATATTTTCAATTCTAATGTTATTTCAGTTTCAACATCATAATCGTCAAGTGCCTTGCCAGCTGGCGTAGGCATTAATGCATCTCCACAGATCTCGGCCTTTGGTGTTCTGAATCAACTCCACTGATGATATTCCTCCATGCCACTGTCTTAAGCCATCCATCATCGTTTCTCTTGGTCTGCCTCTGCCTCCTCTACCAGGGATCTTTCCAGTCATCATGATATTTTCACATGACCAAAGAACTTTGTTTGCCTCCTTCTGATTGTTCTATATAATGTTTACTTTCATTATCTATTTTCAGGAAATTATTGTTAATAATTCTGGCAGTCCAAAGTATTCACAACATTCTCTGCAAGAACCACATCTCAGTTACCTCCAGGCTCTTCTCAATTTAGTTTTAACATCTGCCAGTAAATGTTGGAGTACCACTAAAGATATGGATGACAGTTAACTGCATTAAAAAATTTGAAAACAAATGCCTGCAGAAAAAGATGGACATAAAATTGGATGGATTCAAGTTCAAGAAAAGTGAAGAAATGTGTCTGGGCAACCACTAGTACCAACACTTATAAGACAGAGGTTTTTGAACAACAGATCAACATCATGGCACATGGTAGTAACCCATAAGTGCTCAATTCTTCTAACTCATCTCATTCCGAAGAAGCTAAGCACAGTGCACAGGTTCTGTAGCACCAGCAAAGATCCTGAAATACTTTGGATAGATTTGTAACTCCAAATGATGCCCAGGCAGCGCTGTTAGGTTACTCTTTTCAATTTCCAACTGCCAAGGGATTTTTTAAGTGCTCAACAATGCACACGGGCATCCGACCTCAAAACCCAGAGACCAGGGGAAATAACTATAAGTTCGAATCCATGTGAAAAAATCCCAGCCCTTACCGGGGATTGAACCCCGGAACCTCTAGCACTTGTGACCATGCAGCCCCTTATAAGACAGAGAAGATATCGCTACATTGGACACATTCAGAAGTCCAAGTCCACATGAACAATTCCCAGCCCTTACCGGGGATTAAACCCAGAACCTCTAGCACTCCAGGCGAACATCATGCCTTGAGACCACGCAGCCCCCCCCCACCCCCACCCCCTCTCCCTGCTGCTGAAGAAGAAGAAGAAAATATAATTATACCCACCTTGTCTGCACACTGCGCATTTGCAACCAGCATCAGTGCTGTTATACAGGTATAAATGACCACTGCTCAAAGACATCATACTGTAAAAAAACAATCCAACAAGCCTAGATCTCAGCACTAACCGAGCAACAAGGTTTACAAAGTGTTTTTGTTTCTGCAGATTCAACTGTCCACTATTGCCACTACCTGTACCTTCAGAAACCAGTCAGTTACACAGTCCAGTCAGGCTTGGTCTGTACACAGGAGACTATGGCTCCCATGGTGTTGAGATTCTCAACTTTACCATTAGCCAGACAAATCCACAGCATCTGGAAGGTTTAAAAATTGTGGTAAGTTTTTTGCTGTTGGTGGAGCAGTAGTCATCATTATCAGCTGTATTTTTTGTTAACACTTTGGGCTTTTGAGGCCCATTTTTCATCATTGCCCTTTGTTACAAATCCCTAAATAGCCTATATTCTGACAGAAAGCTTTGGCCAGTCCCTGCTGTGCCTATATTTCAGCTTTGGTACTGTTGCTGCACCTATATTTCAGCGTTAGTACTGTTGCTGCACCTATATTTCAGCATTAGTACTGTTGCTGCACCTATATTTCAGCTTTAGTACTGTTGCTGCACCTATATTTCAGCATTAGTACTGTTGCTGCACCTATATTTCAGCATTAGTACTGTTGCTGCACCTATATTTCAGCATTAGTACTGTTGCTGCACCTATATTTCAGCATTAGTACTGTTGCTGCACCTATATTTCAGCTTTAGTACTGTTGCTGCACCTATACTTCAGCTTTGGTACTGTTGCTGCACCTATACTTCAGCATTAGTACTGTTGCTGCACCTATATTTCAGCATTAGTACTGTTGCTGCACCTATATTTCAGCATTAGTACTGTTGCTGCACCTATATTTCAGCATTAGTACTGTTGCTGCACCTATATTTCAGCATTAGTACTGTTGCTGCACCTATATTTCAGCATTAGTACTGTTGCTGCACCTATATTTCAGCATTAGTACTGTTGCTGCACCTATATTTCAGCATTAGTACTGTTGCTGCACCTATATTTCAGCATTAGTACTGTTGCTGCACCTATATTTCAGCTTTAGTACTGTTGCTGCACCTATATTTCAGCTTTAGTACTGTTGCTGCGCCTATATTTCAGCTTTAGTACTGTTGCTGCACCTATATTTCAGCGTTAGTACTGTTGCTTCACCTATATTTCAGCGTTAGTACTGTTGCTGCACCTATATTTCAGCTTTAGTACTGTTGCTGCACCTATATTTCAGCATTAGTACTGTTGCTGCACCTATATTTCAGCATTAGTACTGTTGCTGCACCTATATTTCAGCATTAGTACTGTTGCTGCACCTATATTTCAGCATTAGTACTGTTGCTGCACCTATATTTCAGCTTTGGTACTGTTGCTGCACCGATATTTCAGCTTTAGTACTGTTGCTGCACCTATATTTCAGCTTTAGTACTGTTGCTGCACCTATATTTCAGCTTTAGTACTGTTGCTGCACCTATATTTCAGCGTTAGTACTGTTGCTGCACCTATATTTCAGCTTCAGTACTGTTGCTGCACCTATATTTCAGCTTTGGTACTGTTGCTGCACCTATATTTCAGCTTTAGTACTGTTGCTGCACCTATATTTCAGCTTTAGTACTGTTGCTGCACCTATATTTCAGCATTAGTACTGTTGCTGCACCTATATTTCAGCTTTAGTACTGTTGCTGCACCTATATTTCAGCATTAGTACTGTTGCTGCACCTATTTATTTCAGCTTTGGTACTGTTGGCTGCACCGATATTTCAGCTTTAGTACATCCGTCAATGCTGCACCTATATTTCAGCTTTAGTACTGCTGTTGCTGCATCTATATTTCAGCGTTAGTACTGTTGCTGCAGTATATTTCAGCGTTAGTACTGTTGCTGCACCTATATTTCAGCTTCAGTACTGTTGCTGAACCTATATTTCAGGCTTTGGTACTGTTGCTGGGTCTTTCAGCTTCAGTACTGTTGCTGCACCTATATTTCAGCTTTGGTACTGTTGCTGCACCTATATTTCAGCTTTAGTACTGTTTGCTGACCTATATTTGCCATTTATTATACTGTTGCTTTACCTATATTTCAGCATTAGTACTGTTGCTGCACCTATATTTCAGCATTAGTACTGTTGCTGCACCTATATTAAGTGATGCATTAGTACTTTTGCTCTTCACCTATTTTTCTTGCCACCATAAGAGTATCTACCTTCCTGTATCTCACCATACAAGGTTATTTTTGGGAGCCAATGGTTTGGCAAGCGGATGACGTGACCTGGCCATCGAATCTGAGACTGCATGAGGATGATATAAATGCTGGGAATGTCAGCTGTATCCAATTTGACAGTATCAGGGACCGCTTATTGCCACCTGATTTGTCGTTTTCTTATACAAGTGGTTGAGCTTCTTTGCATGACGTCTGTACACAGTCCATGTTTCACGAATATAAAGCAGCAAACAAATTCAGTTATACAATAAAAGCTAGGCTCATTCAGATACTGCTGTTAGGATGTAAACGATTAGGCTTTAACACAAAAATATGAGATAGTGTGGGCAGTAATTAGACTGCGGCATCCGTGGCTTAGGCATTGTGAGTCTGACTCGTTATTCCAATGCTCCGTGATCGAAAACCACAGCTGGTTGTGTAGATTTTTATCATAGAGTATGGGGTGTCGCAGGTCGACCCAGCCTAAAATTGGGTACCAGGATGTATGTCCTGTGGAAGTAAAGACAGCCGGCGTAAAGCTGACCACATGACCCACCAAGTGCCGACGGTCTGTAAAAATATGGGAGCTCTTCCCATATACCCGATACGCCTAAAGGCGTGAACCAGGATTTTTACTTACTTTATAGTAATTAGACTGGTTTCTTCTCCTTTGCCTACTTCTCCTTTGCCTACTTCTCCTTTGCCTACTTCTACTTTGCCTACTTCTCCTTTGCCTACTTCTACTTTGCCTACTTCTCCTTTGCCTTCACTGCCTGTAAATTACAGTGGAAAGTCCTGATTCTTCATCCACTTCTAGACTTTGATCTTGTTCCAGAACTTAAGTTTTATGTGTCGACCCCCTCCCCGACCCCCCCCCCCCCATTCCACCCCACCCCTGACCTCCAGATCACAGGTAGTAAGACTGGTTTGAATCCTAGTCCTATAAATAAAACGTAAAAATGTATAAAGATTGTTATATCTTCTTGTTACTCAAGCAGCTATTACAAGACATCTCATCTCTGTTATGATTTTCCACAATTTTTAGCTGTTGAGTCAGGAATTGACATCACAGCACTCTATGTATTCCCATGCCTGCTCCGTCCTCATCAATCTGGTTATATGTCCGACTTGCCTTTCCTCTGAGTGTATTGACCCGGCCAGTCCCTCTGGTTACACCCAGGTGCCTCATTCTCTCCAGGCCATAAAAATATTCCTTCTCTTCAATTCCATGATTGTTACCAAAGAGCCTTGACCACATCTGCCTTGTCATGTATCAGTTCACTACCCAGTGGTGTAGATCCAGCCAATATGTCTGCCTGTTCATTACCCACTATGCCAGCATGGCCTAGAGAAAAGATCCAAAGTATGCTCACGATTAAGTTGTAGTAAGCATCCATATTTGACACTGGTAGCATAATGTCAACAAGAAATAGATTTTATTGGATTGCCTTATGCTTTTATAAAGGATTGGTATTGGCGTCTGTGGCATGGGTGTTGCAAATCTGCTTCATAATTTCGGCAGCCTTTTTCCGTCCCAGTTGTGGACAGTTTGACAACAGACTGCCTTGCATTGGTTTTGACAGTGGTGTCGATAGCCGACCATTGAGAAGTCGGTGGCAAACTATTAGTGTAAAATTTCCTAGTGAAATTGCAAATAGCCATAAAATGCTCATACTGGTTCTGCAAGGTCCTGTAAAGGGTACACAACTAGCTTTTTTTTTTTAAATGTGACTATTTGTATCTTAGGGGGACCCCAATGTTCCGGCAGGGAATGTTAGTGTCCGAGTTTTTCTCGACAAGCCAGTCGTGTTGTCCGAGAGTGACCAGCAGTCTGTTCTTGAAATGCTGAGAGCTGATGAGCAGAGGAGCCAAGAGAGTTTCATGGAGTTGTTGAATGCCAACATCAACAACAACAACCCTGACCTTCTGAGGCAGCCATTCATTATCCCCGAAGATTGCTTTGATAGAGGTCAGGAGTCACCAAACATTTGTTTGGCCAGGTGAGTTTTTGTGTTGTTACTGTTGTGGTGATATTTGTGTTTTTACCCATAAGCGCTCAGTCCCCATTCAAAGCAGCAAGTGCAGAATTCCAATTCCAGTGGTACCAATAGCAGTCTGATTGTAAATCCGTCTCGCCTTTCCCTTGAGGGGATGTTTCTAATACCTGGAGATTGTGATGGTGATGTTTGTAATACCTGGAGATTGTGATGGTGATGTTTGTAATACCTGGAGATTGTGATGGTAATGTTTATAATACCTGGAGATTGTGATGGTGATGTTTGTAATACCTGAAGATTGTGATGGTGATGTTTGTAATACCTGGAGATTGTGATGGTGATGTTTGTAATACCTGGAGATTGTGATGGTGATGTTTGTAATACCTGGAGATTGTGATGGTAATGTTTATAATACCTGGAGATTGTGATGGTAATGTTTATAATACCTGGAGATTGTGACGGTGATGTTTCTAATACCTGGAGATTGTGATGGTGATGTTTGTAATACCTGGAGATTGTGATGGTGATCTTTGTAATACCTGGAGATTGTGATGGTAATGTTTATAATACCTGGAGATTGTGATGGTGATGTTTCTAATACCTGGAGATTGTGATGGTGATGTTTGTAATACCTGGAGATTGTGATGGTGATGTTTCTAATACCTGGAGATTGTGATGGTAATGTTTATAATACCTGGAGATTGTGATGGTGATGTTTCTAATACCTGGAGATTGTGATGGTGATGTTTGTAATACCTGGAGATTGTGATGGTGATGTTTGTAATACCTGGAGATTGGGATGGTAATGTTTATAATACCTGGAGATTGTGATGGTGATGTTTGTAATACCTGGATGTTGTTATGGGGATTGTTATAATACCTGGAGATTGTGACGGTGAGGTTTGTAACACCTGGAGATTGTGATGGTGATGTTTGTAATACTGAAGATTGTGACGGTGATGTTTGTAATACCTGGAGATTGTGATGGTGATGTTTTTAATACCTGAAAATTGTGATTTGTTTAATACCTTGAGATTGTGATGTTTATAATACCTGGAAATTGTGATGTTTATAATACCTGGAGATTTTGATGGTGTTGTTTATAATACCTGGAGATTGTGTTGGTGATGTTTATAATATCTGAAGATTGTGATGTTTGTAATTCCTGGAGATTGTGATAGTAATGTTTATAATACCTGGAGATTGGGGTATTTGTAATACCTGGAGATTGTGATGTTTATAATACCCGGAGATTGGGGTGTTTGTAATACCTGGAGATTGTGATGTTTATAATACCTGGAAATTGTGATTTTTATAATACCTGGAGATTGTGATGGTGTTGTTTATAATACCTGGAGATTGTGTTGGTGATGTTTATAATATCTGAAGATTGTGATGTTTGTAATACCTGGAGATTGTGATGTTTATAATACCTGGAGATTGGGGTGTTTGTAATACCTGGAGATTGTGATGTTTATAATACCTGGAAATTGTGATTTTTATAATACCTGGAGATTGTGATGGTGTTGTTTATAATACCTGGAGATTGTGTTGGTGATGTTTATAATATCTGAAGATTGTGATGTTTGTAATACCTGGAGATTGTGATGTTTATAATACCTGGAAATTGTGATTTTTATAATACCTGCAGATTGTGATGGTGTTGTTTATAATACCTGGAGATTGTGATGTTTGTAATTCTTGAAGATTGTGATGGTGTTGTTTGTAATACCTGGAGATTGTGATGGTGATGTTTATAATACCTGTAGATTGCTTTGATAGAGCCGCAAGATGTCTCAAATGTCTCAAGTCATTTGTTTAACCACATGAGTTTCTGTGTTGTTGCTATTGTGGTGATGTTTATAATACCTGAATATTGTGACAGTGATGTTCACAATACCTGGAGATTGCTCTGAATGAGGCCTGGAGTTTCCAAACATTTGTTTAGCCAGTGGAGTCTTGTGTCAATATTTTGATGGTGATATTTATAATACCTGGAGATTGTGATGGTAATGTTTATAATACCTGGAGATTGTGATGGTAATGTTTATAATACCTGGAGATTGTGATGGTGATGTTTATAATATCTGTAGATTGCTTTGATAGAGCCGCAAGATGTCTCAAATGTCTCAAGTCATTTGTTTAACCACATGAGTTTCTGTGTTGTTGCTATTGTGGTGATGTTTATAATACCTGAATATTGTGACAGTGATGTTTACAATACCTGGAGATTGCTCTGAATGAGGCCTGGAGTTTCCAAACATTTGTTTAGCCAGTGGAGTCTTGTGTCAATATTTTGATGGTGATATTTATAATACCTGGAGATTGTGATGGTAATGTTTATAATACCTGGAGATTGTGATGGTAATGTTTATAATACCTGGAGATTGTGTTGGTGATGTTTATAATATCTGAAGATTGTGATGTTTGTAATTCCTGGAGATTGTGATGGTGATGTTTATAATACCTGTAGATTGCTTTGATAGAGCCGCAAGATGTCTCAAATGTCTCAAGACATTTGTTTAACCACATGAGTTTCTGTGTTGTTGCTATTGTGGTGATGTTTATAATACCTGAATATTGTGACAGTGATGTTCACAATACCTGGAGATTGCTCTGAATGAGGCCTGGAGTTTCCAAACATTTGTTTAGCCAGTGGAGTCTTGTGTCAATATTTTGATGGTGATATTTATAATACCTGGAGATTGTGACAGTGATGTTTATAATACCTGGAGATTGCTCTGAATGAGGCCTGGAGTCTCCAAACATTTGTTTAGCCAGTGGAGTCTTGTGTCAATATTTTGATGGTGATATTTATAATACCTGGAGATTGTGATGGTGAAATATACAAACTTATTACATCTTGTTATCCATATATAAACAATAATTTTGAATTTTATATGGATGTGTAAACAATTATGTTGACTTTTATATGGATGTATAAACAATTATAATGACTTGTACTGATGTCTGTAGGTATCTAGCCGAAGGGAGGATAGCAGGCCACTTATACAATGATCCCAGCCTCTGCAAGTGCCATTTCGTCAAGTTTAGTGATGTGGTGTTTGGGGTGATGTGGCTGGAGCTCAACTCCTTCAGCATGTTTTACAATGTCGCAGAGGAGTTTCCTCGCTGTCTAGTTCAGTCATCCTGATTTTCTGTCATAGCATTAGTGTTTATGTGTTCTAGCTCTTTAGCTGGGTACTCTCTCTCTCTCTCTCTCTTTGTTGCTCTATGCATGTGTGTATATGAGAGAGATTGGAAGTTGTGTATTATATGGCTAAGACTCGGCTGTTTAAGCATGTTCTAAGGTGTTGGAAGTTGTGTATCATATGGCTAAGACTCAGCTGTTTAAGCATGTTCTACAGTGTGTCCATAGTTTGATTAGCTCAGCCAGATTTTCTATCTTAAGATTATGTTGTGAGATGAGTACTTGTGTGGTCTAGCTGTCTAGAGTGGGACTGTATATGTGTGTGTGAGAGAGAGGAAGTGAGTGAGAGAGAGAGAGAGTGAGAGAGAGAGAGAGAGAGAGAGAGAGAGAGAGAGAGAGAGAGAGAGAGAGAGAGTGAGAGAGAGAGAGAGAGAGAGAGAGAGAGAGAGAGAGAGAGAGAGAGAGAGAGAGAGAGAGAGAGAGAGAGAGAGAGAGAGAGAGAGAGAGAGAGAGAGAGAGAGGGAAGCAAGAGAAAGGGTGAAGGGAGGGTATTAGTGGCTAGAGCAGTTTCAGCATGTTCTGCAGTGGTTCCCACATTGTTTAGCTCCACCTTTCTGAAGTTCTGTCTTAAGATTATATTGTGAGATGAGTACTTTTTTGGTCTAGCTGTCCAGAGTGAGACTTATGTGTATGTGTGTCTGTGAGAGAGAGAGAGAGAGAGAGAGAGAGAGAGAGAGAGAGAGAGAGAGAGAGAGAGAGAGAGAAAGAGAGGGGGTGAAGGAAGTGTATTATGTGGTCAAAGCTTTTTCAGCATGTTCTGCAGTGTGGCGGCAGAGGGGCTTTCGGGATGTTCAGATCATTCATCATAATTTTCTGTTTAAAGGTTAAACTTTGACATAAGTACTTGCATATTCTAGCTGTCCAGACTGAGACATATGTGTATGTGTTCATATGAGTGTGTGTGTGTGTGTGTGAGAGAGAGAGAGAGAGAGAGAGAAAGAGAGAGTGCATAATGTGCATAGAACTCTTTCAGCATTTTTCTTCTTCATTGTAACAGAGGATTCCTCATGTCGTAATTTTCTCTCATAAGATTATGTTTTAACATAAATGTCAGCATCTTTGACTTAGGCATTGCAAATGCACTTTGTAATGCCAGGGTTTAATCCCAGCTGCAGGTGATTTGGCAGCAGACCGCCTTGTGTTTGTGTTGGCCGTGGTATCGAGAGCCGAACGTCCAGAAAGCAGCGGCAAACTACTGAATGTAAACTTGCCTAGAAAAACCACAACAGCCCAAAAATGCTGGGGGGTTGGTTCCACAAAGTCCCGTAAAGGACAAGTAACTAACGTTTGACGTAAGGACTATTTTCCCAGCACTGGTACATAAGACATATGATGCTAGGCTCATTTTTCTATAAACTAATCAGGTTTTAGTGGGTGATGTGTTATGTTGGCCGCCTTCACTTTCCAGGACTTTACCTAGCACCTACTTAAATGTTGCTGTAAAAATTTGATAAACTCATGACGGGTGAAGAAATAAGAGAAATGTGATACCCAATTTAGGATGTATGAATGCCTGAGGAAAATGTTGAACAAGATAAAAGTAAAGAACCATTTTCCACACCTTTAGGCATTTTGGGCATGTAGGGCTAGACCTATATTTTATAGACCAGTCGGCACTTGGTGGGTGAGATGGTCAGCATCATGCTGGCCACCTTTGCTTCTCAGGACTTTACCTGGTGCCCACTTAGATGTTGAACATAAAACTGGATAAGTTTATGTTTATGTTTATTCGATAGATCAGCATCATAATGCATGTGTGTGTGTAACCCATATCAACAGTTATAAGACAGAGAAGATGGCGCTATATTGGACACATCCTGAGAATAAACTAGCAGATACCTAACAGGCATTGAAAACAGAAATAGAGGGATCGAGGAAACAAATATGTCCAAGGAAAAACAGATGAATGTTGATGAGCGAAGCCAAAGCTGCTGAACTGCATTCCATCTATGATATTGAAGTGATTGCACAGGATTGAGTGTAATAAAGAAATATACTGCAAGCCTTATGAGACATATAACGGCACATTAGACCAAAGGTAAAGGTAAAGGTAAAGTCGGTAGATGTGAACCAGCGTCATTGTAAACGGTTTTAAACCATATGTGCTCTGCCACCAGTATGGTCAGCTGATAAGAATTGTCCGCCTGTATCGCTGTTAGCACATAACTCTGGTTATAGCAATGTTCCTCCATTTACCCCAGAGTGTCAACTCTGGTACCCATTTCCTAGAGGCTGGGTGAACCCTGGGAGCCGCCCAGTTTCGAACACTGGCCGTGGGCTGCAGCGAGTCCCAGCTGGATTTGAAAGCGAGCCTCTTATCGACTGTGCTAACGAGGTCCCAGTGAATGAATAAATGAATGAAAGAATTTTGGGCTGGATTGACCTGGGAGTTAAGGTCAGTTTTTTCGGGTTTAAGTCAAATTTTCGGGCCGGCAGGCCAGCATCCTGCCAAAGCACTACAAGGGCTCCTAAAAGACTTTGAATATGCCAGTTTTCTTTGTTTTAAGCAATCAAAATATGTTGTATTCATTCTGTCATTCATTGAGCTGTTGTACAGTTAAATGTCACATAGGGCTTGCAGTTTGTTTGTCCATTCAGCTTGCATTAAGTCTCTTCAGTCTCATGAATGGAATCCAGTCCAGCACCTTTGGCATCCCTCATCGACATTCACCTTCACGTTTCTCTTGGTTGATAATAGTGGTTGACCAGATATTTCTCTTATTATCTCTCCACTCCTCTCAAATTCATCCCGATTTTATGTTTTCTTCAGGCATTTGTTTTTTGCGCATTTAACTGTTGCTCCATATATCATATGCTCTCTTGTTAACGCATGAACATTGTATGCAATTTCTTATGCTAATAATGATTATCATCCAAGTCAGATCATGGCGGAGCGAAGAGTGAGGGACTTAGAGAAACTCATCTGCTTGTAACTAAACAAAATAAGTAAAAGTAAATAAGTAAAAGTAAATAAGTAAAAGTAAAAGTAAAAGTAAAAGTAAATAAGTAAAAGTAAATAAGTAAAAGTAAAAGTAAATAGTAATAAGTAAAAGTAAATAAGTAAGTAAAAGTAAAAATAAAAGTAAAAAGTAAATAAATAAGTAAAAGTAAATAAGTAAAAGTAAATAAGTAAAAGTAAATAAGTAAAAGTAAATAAGTAAAAGTAAAAATAAAGTAAAGTAAATAAGTAAAAGTAAAAGTAAGTAAATAAGTAAAAGTAAATAAGTAAAAGTAAATAAGTAAAAGTAAATATGTAAAAGTAAATAAGTAAAAGTAAATAAGTAAATAAGTAAAAGTAAATAAGTAAAAGTAAATAAGTAAAAGTAAATAAGTAAAAGTAAATAAGTAAAAGTAAATAAGTAAAAGTAAATAAGTAAAAGTAAATAAGTAAAAGTAAATAAGTAAAAGTAAATAAGTAAAAGTAAATAAGTAAAAGTAAATAAGTAAAAGTAAATAAGTAAAAGTAAATAAGTAGAAGTAAATAAGTAAAAGTAAATAAGTAAAAGTAAATAAGTAGAAGTAAATAAGTAAAGGAACCTTTCCACGCCTTTAGGCATATTGGGCATCTAGGGTAAGACCTATATTTTATAGACCAGTCAGGACTTGGTGGCTGATGTGGTCAGAATAACTCCGGGAGCCTTTACTTCCCAGGCTTGTACCTGGTACTCACCCAAGGCTGGGTTAACCTAGGAGCAAAAGTCATTTTTGAAAAAAGTCTGTTTCCATCATGATCCGAACTCACGACCTTCCGATCTGCAGTCGAGCTTCTAGCCGCTGCACCACAAAATGTTATACTTTCTTAGGATCCCAAAGTGGTGGTTTAGATGCTCAGGAGGCTCCAAAAAAAAGGCAAAAAGAAGTCTTGTCATTCAGCATAGGTCAACACTATAACTGCAGGACACTGGTGTGTCTGGCTAAACGTAAACAGTGAAGATACATTATGTGATGGTTGAGATTCATTGGGCTAGAGCCAGACTCATATCACATGTTACCCAGCGAAAAAGGCGACACTGATTTGTCTGGCTAAATTTGAACAGAGAAGATACATTTTACAATGGTTGAGATTCACACATCACATGTTACCGGGCTAAAATGAGAACACTGATGTTTATGATGAGGGGAAAATTTGAGCACCTGTAGCTGTGTTTGGAGTGACATAAAGATAACCCAACTCATAACCCATAATTCAGCAGGCAACATTTCTGAATTAAGTTTTAGTAATAATTATATTATTATAATTGTGAGGAAATTCTAGATTAGAGAAATGAAGTAATTAGTGAAGATTTTTGGGGAGACTCAGGTTTGAATCCTATGTAAGGCATGGATTTTTTTTAATGTCTAGGGCAAAAACTAAAATCCTAATCACTCAGTCCATGGTGAAAGCACTAGCCTTGCAACCCTAAAACCCCAGGCCCCCACCTAACTGCACAGCAAACCAAGCAGAAATTAGCACTTTTTGGCAGTGAGTTTTGTAGAGTTTTTGGGGGACAGATATAGGAAAAAAACTCAAAAAGCACAGTGACAGCAAACTTCATGGGAAAAGAGTGAGAGGAAGACAAAGACATAAACATCTTGATAGCTTGGCCTTATGGCATAAGCAGAACACACATCATTATCTCTTAGCACAGTGGTTCTCAACCTTCTTAATGCTGCAAAGCTTTAATACAGTTCCTCATGTTGTGGTGACCCCAATCATAACAGTATTTTCATTGCTATTTATTAACTTCAGTGAATTTATGTTTTCCTGTAGTCTTAGGTGACCCCTGTGAAATGGTCATTTGACCCTAAAGGGGTCGCCACCCACAGGTTGAGAACTGCTGTCTTAGCACGTCCTTTACAGAAAGTCACTATCTTCATGGCACGCCTGAAAGTCTTGCTTTCCTAGCCAGCTCTCTAGCCCTATGTGCTTTCACTGCCAATGCAATCTTCAGTGTCTTTTAACCAGCTTCATGGAGGTTGCCTTCTGCCTCAGTTTCCAGAAACTACACAATCCTATCTCCATTCTTTCTAGGACACCCTTACACTTAACATGGCCAGAATACCATAGCTTTTAGGACAGGATGTTGTTTATAATCCATTTCTCCTAGATGTTAAACTTATGTAGAGTGTCCGTCTAATTCTTCTTCTTGGTTCATGGTAGTTTAACAATTTGTCTGTAGCATTTCAGTTGAAAAAGCTCAGATTTTTCTAATACACATACTTTAAAAATTAGTGGTTAGCATTTGGAATTGTGAGGCATGAATGCCCATACTTATCATGACACATGATGATGATGATGAACTTCTTCTTCTGCATTTGCCCTTAAAAGGGTGGTTGGTACATTATATTATGCTTTAAGCTAGGCTGTGATATCACCACCTGTGACTCTACTTATCCAGTTTTATAAAAACTCTTATTAGTCGTTTTTTACAGCATGCTTATTAGGACCCAATTGGGCTTTGGGCTGTTTAGTTTTTCTCACAAAATGGCGCCCGGAACTCCATACACAAAATGAGCTGTATAGCCCAATAACATATGATGAGTGATTGGCTCGTCTCCACCAAATCCCAGCCATCGTATAATGTATCCTCTAATTTTTTACATTTAGCCAGAACATGTTGAAAAATCTGGCTTTCATAGTGGCCACTTCCATTATCTACTTAGCTTCTTTCATACTGGTTATGTGGGCTACAAGAAGTTGCTGGCCAAAAGGCCAAGAATGCTGGAAACCCATACAGGAGACCAGGTTCAAATTCTATGTAAGATTATAGGTTTTTTCTGTCAGGGCAAGAATAAAATTCAAACCAACACAGTCCGTGGCAACTATACTAGCCATCATCCCTCAGACTCAAATATCCCCCATCATCCCTCAGACTCAAATATCCCCCATCATCCCTCAGACTCAAATATCCCCCATCATCCCTCAGACTCAAATATCCCCCATCATCCCTCAGGCACTCAATATCCCCCATCATCCCTCAGACTCAAATATCCCCCATCATCCCTCAGACTCAAATATCCCCCATCATCCCTCAGACTCAAATATCCCCCATCATCCCTCAGACTCAAATATCCCCCATCATCCCTCAGACTCAAATATCCCCCATCATCCCTCAGACTCAAATATCCCCCATCATCCCTCAGACTCAAATATCCCCCATCATCCCTCAGACTCAAATATCCCCCATCATCCCTCAGACTCAAATATCCCCCATCATCCCTCAGACTCAAATATCCCCCATCATCCCTCAGTCCTCAGACTCAAATATCCCCCATCATCCCTCAGTCTCAAATATCCCCTGTGTCTACACCATAAAAGTGGTAACAGTATTGGCAGTTTGGTTTGTTTCTTTGTTAATATGGGTGTTTGTGAGCCTGACAGTGTTATTCATGTTACATTGTCTATGTACTTTAATTGCTTCATTACAGCCTTTTGATTCCCAGGTTGTATACAAATATTTTATTGTAATATTATTATACACATTTTAATTTATAATTTTTACATGTTAATTAATTTGTTACTTGTAACTTTTGCTTGTAAACAGTTTTTAGATGTTTATATACCCAGCTATTGATGTTTAAGTATTTATACTGGTGTTTTGATGATTTCATATTGCTCTCATAAATGATTGCTCTTATAAATGATTGCTCTTATAAATGATTGCTCTCATAAATGAAGTTTATTTGCACTTTGGTTCAGAGTAACATCTTCAGGCTGTACATTTTGTAAACATCCACATGGTGGTTCATGCCTGTTTGTCACAAACTAGGTTCAGACTCAGCAACTGTAAGCTGATCTGCACATTTTGGTTTCATGCATGCAACAGGTCCTTTGGGTAATTATACACTTGTTATGGCCCACCAGAAACTACTGTTAGTACTCCTATCTTATGTATTTTCATGCACAGGGTGTCGTTAATGTTGTGTCCACCTGCATATTTATGGACCCATGTGTTCCCCGTGTGTTGATTCCAGGGCCCCATTTTGGGGGAGGGGGAGGGGGGAATAGACCTCATGCCCTCTAACAAGCATGTTGTACAAGGTGACTAGATATGGATTTTGTCCCCAAAGTTTGTTCATTTGCCTAAGTGGCGAGGAACCAGCAGTCTGCACACAAGTAAGCTGGATCTGTAAAAAGGATATACACAAAAATATCCATGTTCTGGAACAAGACTAAAGTCTAGAAGTGAATGAATAACCAGAACTTTTAACCAGAGTTAACAACCGGCGACTGCCAAGAAGAAGAAGAACAGATAGACTCTTGTCTGTTATTCCAAGCACTATACTTTCTGCTGCTGTTGTGTGTGTGTGTGTGTGCATGCGTGTGCGTGCCCGCGGGTGGCGGCGGCTGGGTCAGTCACCATAATTACAGCCTGGCATTCCAAAGTTCTGAAGGTTAACTCAGGTCACGAAGCCAAAGGGGAAAGGCCCAGCGCTTCTCTTTTTCAGCTTACTGCTTTGGTTCTACCAGTTTGTTCATTGTTGTGACTGATCTAACCTTTTGACCTTGACCAAAAGGCCTGGAAGTAATCTTCTTGTTGGTGTTTTCTTTTTTTTTTTTCAAATTCACTGATACCTTTAATATAGCAAAACTTAATTACTGGAACATGATTCTGTTTATAGCCAGGTTTATTCAGCTTTTAGATTAAAAAAAAATTAAATACAACACTTGACTTGGATCACATAACCTTTATTCTTATAAGCAGTAAAATTAACACAACCATACTGGTTTTTTTAAAAACATTAATTAAACAAAAGTGTCAATCTGCGAGTAAACAGCCACAATGGCACACAAAAAACAACACTAAAAAATAAATGTGAATCCAAAAATAACATAGCCACAAAGGCACACAAAAACAATATAAAGAATATGAAACCAAAGATAACACAGCCATAATGCCACACACAAAACCACAGTATAAAAATGTGAATCCAAGAATAACACAGCCATGACAGCACTAAAAAACAACAGTTAAAAACTTGAATTAAAAAACTATGAAAACCTGAATCCAAAAATAATACAGCCATCATAAATCATATGGCTCTGTGTGCAGAGGTCACAATTTATCAGGACAATTAATATCACAGTTAATTTCTTTTCATTCTATTTGATCCATTTTTAGAATTCTGAAAAAAAAAAAAAAAAATGCAGGATCAAAGTACATTTCAGCAACACTTCTTTCTCTGCAGTTTCTCTTATGCCAGAAATTCTGCTTCTTCTTCCCGTGCACTGACTGTAAACTCTAGCGAATGTTCAAGTTGTTCGTCCACTTTTAGACTTTGGTTCATTCCAGAACTTGGTCCATTTCAGAACTAGATGTTTACTTGCACATTTATTTTACAGATCTGATTTGCTTGTGTGCAGAATATTGGTTCTTTGCCACTGAGGCAGATGCTCTCCAACTTTGAAGGTAAAATCCCTAATTAGTCAAACTTCTAGGACTTGCTTGTTGGGGTAGTGAGCCTCTTACCACCCTCCCCCCAAATGAAGTAGCTGTTACCACCCCTCCCCCAAATGAAGTAGCTGTTACCACCCCTCCCCCAAATGAAGTAGCTGTTACCACCCCTCCCCCAAATGAAGTAGCTGTTACCACCCTCCCCCCAAATGAAGTAGCTGTTACCACCCCTCCCCCAAATGAAGTAGCTGTTACCACCCCTCCCCCAAATGAAGTAGCTGTTACCACCCCTCCCCCAAATGAAGTAGCTGTTACCCCCCTCCCCCAAATGAAGTAGCTATTACCACCCCTCCCCCAAATGAAGTAGCTATTACCACCCCTCCCCCAAAAAGGGCCTGGATCCTACACGGGGAAGAAGAAAACTGAGACAGAGTACCATATTGCTTTGCGCAGGCTGATATGTCTACTGCACTTTAAAACAAACATACAAATAAACAAAAAAATAGACAGATATAAATATAAATGAAAACAACATAATTTAGTAAAAGTAGTTTGGTGTAACGGGTTCAGGAAGTAAGATAGAAAGTTCTCAACAAGAAAGTGATACATAAAATTAGATAGGAATGACTAAAGAAGGATGCAAAAATATTAAATTTTTTTTTCTTTTTTTTGGGGTCATCTCACTGATACCAGGTTGAAGCCTAGTGTCATAGTTTTTCTGTATTTGTTTCATAGATTTTCTGTATTTGTTTTACGCTTCTTGGGGATTGACTAAAGTAGCATGCAAAAATATTAAATGTCTTTTTCTTCTTTTGTCTTCTCACTGATACCAAGTTGTAGCCCAGTGTCATAGTTTTTCTGTATTTCTCTTGCGCTTCTCGAGTAGCTTTGGGTGGTAGATTTATGATGGATATCTTCTCACATGAAAACTAATATTAAAAACTTTAGTATAATGTTATATCGATGCCACTGCATATTGGGCATTCCTATGCATGCTCAGTCCTCACATGCAGCAGCCATCTCTAGGCACCTCTCCTGACTATGTACAAAAGTGTTTACAATACTTGAGCACTACTGTAAACTGCCGTATACAAGTTGACCTGGCATACAAGTCGATCTCAACGATTGCTAGCTCAAAAATTCTAAGTTAAGTCTATGCCTAGCTTACCGCATTTAATACCAGCCATATATCGACCTCTAGTTTTAGAAATATGTTTTAAAACTTGAATTGTGTAATTTATGCTAAATTGGTGTATAGTTTTACTGCAAATAAAACACACTTGTTCTTATTATATTAATTACAAAAATTATCTCTGTTTCTTCATAATACAATAAAATAAATAAATAAAAATAATTAATAAAAATACCAGATTATTATTAATTCTTTTTTTCCCTACACTTATCCTTTAAAGGTGGTTGGCATATTGTGATGTTATTTTTCAGCTAGGCTGTGAAATCTGTGCCTTTGGGACCAACACAGAAGCAAGTTCTTAATTAGTCGCCTGTTATGATATGGTTGTAACTAATTTAGCAGTTAAATAACACACTTTCTAGTTTCATTCTATGATTTCCTCATTATTTTTATTATCTTTGAAAGACGGGTCATTATCATTTCTTGTCTGGGATATATCACACACATTATCATCAACCCTCTCAAGGCCATCCGTGACTTCATCGTGAGGACATTCGTTATCGTAACCGTGGGTCTTTTCATAGAAGGAATCCTCCAACTCCATCTCCCTAATGACTGATGAGCTGTTGTATCCAGACTCCTCTAAAAAATCGACGTCCTCTTTGACAGAGTAGTCTGTGATGTAGTCATCTTCAAAGTAGACGCCTTCACCAGATGACTCCAGATTGCCTGGGAAAGAAATGGAAATTGTTGACAGTGTCTGCAGTAAAAGCAAGTACAGGAAAGGATACTTTGGTTAGAAATGTCTGCAGTAAAAGCAAGTTCAGGAAAGGATACTTTGGTTAGAAATGTCTGCAGTAAAAGCAAGTACAGGAAAGGATACTTTGGTTAGAAATGTCTGCAGTAAAAGCAAGTTCAGGAAAGGATACTTTGGTTAGAAATGTCTGCAGTAAAAGCAAGTAGAGGAAAGGATACTTTGGTTAGAAATGTCTGCAGTAAAAGCAAGTAGAGGAAAGGATACTTTGGTTAGAAATGTCTGCAGTAAAAGCAAGTTCAGGAAAGGATACTTTGGTTAGAAATGTCTGCAGTAAAAGCAAGTTCAGGAAAGGATACTTTGGTTAGAAATGTCTGCAGTAAAAGCAAGTTCAGGAAAGGATACTTTGGTTAGAAATGTCTGCAGTAAAAGCAAGTTCAGGAAAGGATACTTTGGTTAGAGATGTCTGCAGTAAAAGCAAGTAGAGGTTAAACTTGTCTGAAGTAAACATAAGTACAGAAAAGTAGAATGTTGAATTAAGAATAGACATCCCATAAGTGCTCTGACCCTACTCCCTGCAGCGCCATTCTCCTCAGACCATAATGAAATAATACAGGAAAGTATCACATGGTTAAACTTGTCTGAAGTAAACATAAGTACAGGAAAAGATTACATGTTAAAATCGTCTGCAGCGAAAGCAAGTACAGGAAATGATCCCCTGGTTGAAACTGTCTGCAGTAAAAATAAGTACAGGAAAAGATCCCATGGTTGAAACTGTCTGCAGTAAAAACAAGTAAAGGAAAGGATCCATTATTTAAAACTGTCTGCAGTAAAAACAAGTAAAGGAAAGGATCCATTATTTAAAACTGTCTGCAGTAAAAACAAGTACAAAAAAGAATCCCTTATTTAAAACTGTCTGCAGTAAAAACAATTAAGGGAAAGGATCCCTTATTTAAAACTGTCTGCAGTAAAAACAAGTACAGGGAAGGATCTCTTATTTAAAATTATCTTCAGCAAAAGTAATTACATGAAAAGATCTGTGCATACAGCAGCAGTAGAGGGTCCTACTATACCAGAGAATTGGTGGTGCTTTATGCATGTAATGGTGTGTGCAACTACTGATCTGTTGTAACTACTGTTTTTTTTTTTCAACAATGAACTGCATTTCTAGGGCCAGACTGTTTGTCTTGGCACTTCTGATGGCTGATTATGCATTTAATGCATGTGTACGCTACTGGCTTTGCTCAGACAGCAGTCTCTGTCACTTTTTTTTCACAAGGGATGGTGATGGACATTCTGTTTGGTTAGCGTCTGCACAGGAACAGACCAACTATGGGGTCACCCATTTGAAGTGAAGTGGGATTATCTGATTACCCTGTGGTGCCAATGCCATATTTTTTATAATCCAGTCAGCATTTGATGGTAATGAGGACGGTGTTTTGCTGGCTACCAGCTCCTCCCTTCAAATAAAATTGACTGCTACTCATATTCTGGCTGGGTCAACCCGGAAGCTTGCTGATTTCATTCTTCAAAATTTCCGCTTTGTTAGAATAAATTACGTCCAGGTTGAAAGACAAGTGATGTACAGTGTACTACTGTGGCGCAGTAGTAAAACATACAGTAAATGACTCTTTTAGCGCCAGTAGCGAATCAGACATACAATATTAGACTCATGTTTCTCTAACCAATCAGCACCTCTTACCAGTTTAAAGCTGGGTCGGTCGACCTGGAAGTCAAGGTCAGCATATAGATGATGCTAGATTCATTTTCAGTCCTTAAGAAAGAGAATAGGGGCTTTTGAGCTGAAATGCTATAGAAAGATTCTCAGAATACCTTGGACAAAGAAGATGAGAAATATTGACATCTTAAAAGATCTGAACAACATCAAGGAAGATTGGCTAATAAACAGCATCCTTTCTCGAAACCTGAAATATTTTTGTCATATCAAGCGCCACAACGGATTGGAAAAATTATAGCAAAAGGCATGGTACCAGGAAGGAGTGGCAGGGGCCGACCGACACGAAGATGGGCATAGGATATAAGTGACTCCTTGAGTGTGAAAGTACATGAGGCGGGAGAACTTGCGAGAGACTGAGTTTTTTTCAGGCAGACCTTGATGAGAGCGACGTTCTGCAAAGGATCTGCTACATGATGCTGATGACTCATTTTTGGTAAACCAATCGGCATTCAGCAGGTCATGTGGTTAGGGTGTTACTAGAAAATGATTATATTTCATATACAGTGGAACCTCGCTTAATGAGCGTAATTCGTTCCAGAATCAAACTCATAAAGCGAAACACTCATTATGCGAAACAATTTTTCTTATATAAAAATTAATGTAAAATATGATAATGCGTTCCATGTCGAAAAAATACTAACTAAATTTAATGTATGACATTTATTCAAAGAAAATTATTAGGGCTGTACCGAATATTCGCTTTGTATTCACTTCGGGGCCGAATAGTGGACCTACTAGCTATTCGGCCGAATAGTGGCGGTCGGGCCGAATACTAATAGTGATTTCTGCATACACTGCAATGGACTAAAATAACTCTCTCATTAATAATGTCACAATTTATAGCCGACTTTTCTTGATTTTCGCCGCGGCACCCCTGTCATACGCACCCAGTTTTAGAACCTCTGCTGTAATGCCTCGGAGTCAGGCGCTGTTACCACGCAAACGGGTGGCCGTTTTTCCCGCTACGAAAGATTTAGGCATCGCTACTGTTGTGTTAAAGAAGGCATGAAGAAACTTGAAAGTGTATCTGTGTGTGTGTGTGTGTGAGAGAGAGAGAGAGAGAGAGAGAGAGAGAGAGAGAGAGAGAGAGAGAGAGAGAGAGAGAGAGAGAGAGAGACAAAGAGAAAGCATGCATTTTTTTGTTCTTTCGGGGTGTCTTTTCCCAAATCAAATTGAAGATATTGCAAACGAGAATATGAAGGTGCATTTAAATTACATTGAACGAACGCCTGAACGAAAAATGATTTAAATGCGAATTTGGCACATGGATAAAATCAGATGAAAGATGCACTACTAAAATAAAAAACAAAATAGGACAGGCTAAAAATGCATTTTATATTTAAAAAAAAAGAACATCTTGTGCAATATATCATTGTCTTGCTTGCTACATACATCCAGTTTTAACATACGGCTATGAGTCCTGGACAATCGGTAGCAAACAAAAATCTAAATAGTTATGATCCACACCTAATTTTTTTTACTAGAAAAGATGTCCAGAAAAATGGGTTTTTGCTGACGCTTCAAAGTTTGGCGAAAATACGACAAAGCATTATAATTGAATAAATTTGCAGCGCGCATAGCCACTTCCTTATTAGGGTGATGCTTCTCAATGTAAGATGCAACAGTTTCCCATGTTTTCAGCATTTCTCTTATTTTGCCAGAAGATTGTAACACTTTTCTGTTACCTCCTCCTCCTCTGACAAATTTTCCTCTAAAATTTCTTGCTGTGAAACACAATGCGCCTTTGTAAGCTTTTCGGTGGTCAGCTCTTGGCTGTACTCTTCCACAAGCTCTTCGATATCACTGTTATCCACCTCCAATCGCATGGCCAAAGACACAATCTCGTTGACTACAGGTTCCACAGGTACTGTCTCGAACCCCTCAAAGTCACATTCGATGCTCTCCAGGCCAAAGCTTCTTCCAAGCAGAAGTTAAGATTCTCTTGGTAACCCCTTCCCACGCCTTGTCGATCATCTTGAGGCAGGCAACAATGTGGAAGTGATTTTTCCAAAACTCTCTGAGAGAGGTTGGTCCCTTTAGTCACCTGAAAACAATGCTCGAAGAGTGTTTTAGTGTAGAGCTAAGAAATAACTTGCTGGTCCATGTTGGGAGGTAGAAACTAGATCTTGATGAACTTAAATTCTTCAGTGAGGTCATCGTGTAGGCCTGGAGGATTCATGTACATATAACAATATAACAAAAGTTTAAGAAAATGTGTGATTACAAGCGACACTACGATGCTACTGGAGTGAGTGCTAAACACAGACTGATGTAACATGCGCACAATCAGGGACTTTCCCTCTCCTCACCGCTCATTATGCCAAACGTCCCTAGTTAAGCGAGTCATTCTTTTACAATTTGTTTTGCTTGTTATGCCAATTACTCGTTATGAGAGTTGCTTGTTAAGCGAGGTTCTAATGTAATTAATTTTGTTACCTGGTTCATTTGATCCACCATTTGCTCCAAGAAAGGAGTCGAGGGCTTGGCTGTCTTGATCAAGCTCAATTTTACTTAAACTAGGGACCAAGAATGTCTTTACAGGTAGCCCTATAAGGACAGGCAATGGCAACATATGTGAATGTACAAAGTCTTACATTAAAACAGTATTTGACACACAATTTTAGACATAAAAAAGTGTTTTACAGTCTAAAATTAAAATAGTATTTGATACAGTTTTAGATTAAGAGGATTTGACACAAAATCAAAGATTACAACAGGATTTGACAAAAGAGTGTTTGATCACAAGAGGTTTTGAGACAAAGTTTTGATTAAAACAGTACTTAACAAAATATCAGACTAAAACAAGACTTTAATAAATATCTTAGATTAACTCAGAATCTGGCAAAAAAGACTAAAACAGGACCGGAAAAAAAATCTTATATTAAAATAGGATTTGACAACTTACGGTCATGATGTCCATGTGTGTGGTAGTAATTTACATCCTCCTGGAAGGCAGACATAAAAGCCTCAGCTCTCTCCTGGAGGTTCATTTTCTTCACTGACTCAATCTCCGCCATCTTTCTGGCATGCAATTGTGCAAAATCAACTGTATGATAGATTTGAGAGATGATCACATAAAATGGTGATTTTTTTCACTGACTGACAAATAATCATATATAAAATATAAATCACAAACCCTTTCTGTATTGCATGTGTTTATTATAAACAAAGTGTTAACTCCTCCCAAACCACGACCAATACACGGGTTACATTGTCATTTGTCGTTATGATTACAATGTTTAATTTGTCAGTCACATTGGTGACACAGTTTATTGTGCATTTCTTTATTTATTGTGACAATCAGTCAAAGTAAACATTTGCTGAAGTTATATCCCCCTAAATATTTTTTCCTATTACTTTCCTAAAAAAGTAACTTAAAATTTTTTGGTTCTTAATTTATAACGTACCCCAAACACGAAATCCCTGTGGGAAATCCACACCTGACCTGACAGTCCATTATTTCAAGGGGTGGAAGTGTGCTGTTGTGTGGTGCTTTTTATTAGTGTTAATCTAATGTCTTCTAATGCTAACCCTAATCTTGGCTGTAGATAAATCGCGAGAAACTACAGCCTGAACACCCTAGAATTTATTGTGAATGTCTCCCGTGACGTTGTCGTGACGTCAGGGTTAAGTTATAAATTAAGTACCAATTTTTTTTTAATTTCACTGTTATCTTCCTTGAAATCACACACATATCGGAGTGCATCTGCCTGAGAGGCAAGGAACCAACAGTCTGCATTCAAGTGAATCAAATCTGTAAAACTGATGCACATGCAACACTCAGGTTCTGGAGCAGGACTGCAGTTCAGAAGTGGACGAACAACCAGAACTTTCCACCAGAGTGTACAGCTGGTGAGCGCGAAGAAGAAGAAGAAGACATCTCTATATATGTCTGAGACAATACATTTGTCTGTCTTCCAAATTGTTAAATATTGATGTTAGTATTACTTGGGATGCTTCAGATGCACTTAGAGGCAATGACAAATATACAGCAGCAGCGGAGACAGAAGTTGAAATAAAAGACATGATATTAAATATAGGGTTTTAGTTAGACCCCCATTTCCATTAGACCTACATATAGGGCAGTGGTGGATGGAGACCAAGATAAGGCAGAAGGCAGGGAAATAAGAATTTTGTTTACTAACCCGGGCACAGCAGGGCAATTAAATCTAGTCATACGAGCATATATATATATATATATATATATATATATATATATATATATATATATATATATATATATATATATATATATATATATATATCTGTGTGTGTGTGTGTGTGAGCGAGAGAGAGAGAGAGTGAGAGGAGAGAGATATCTCTCTCTCTCTCTCTCTCTGTGTGTGTGTGAGAGAGAGAGAGAGAGAGTGAGAGGGGAGAGAGAGAGGAGAGAGAGAGAGAGATATATATAAAATCAATTTCTCCACTGATTCAAACATGACTTTCACATGAACTCCACTGATTCAGACATGACTTTCACATGAATTATTTCGTTAATGGAACCCATAACATAATATAACCCTTGACCCATTAGGGTCGTAGAGCTGTATCGATGGAAGCACCCCCCCCCCCCCAGGTCTTTTTCTGTCTTTCGCTTGAAGAATAAGTGCATGTTACTTTAGTTCTGCTAATTTCTTGATGTTGTCATTCTTGATTCTTCTCTGCCTGTTACTTCTCTAACCTTCCTGCATCAATCTCACCAGACTGTGGTGATTCATCTGCTCCTCCGAACTGTACACGATATTCCATGAGGCCCCAAATACGTCCGCCTTATCATGCATCAATATTTCACCAAGTTAAGCAGAGTCAGCCAATCTGTCTGCCTGTTTATTTCCCAACACAAGGTTATTCCAGGTAAAACAAAATTCAAAAAATACATTTATAAACGATTAATTACTGATCTGTGTAATTTGATTGTCCTTTTAAAGAACATATTCTTACTGGTTCAGAAATAGTTTAGGGCAAATGCGGATGAAGACAAAGAAGATCTAACCTTTGAGTTTTTCCACTTCTGATTCCTTCTTTGCTTTGTACACGGCAAGACTCTTCTGTTCTTTCAAACACCTGTTCCTGAAATCTTGCTCCTCACAGATGTCTTCCAGCATATTCAACTGTTTCTCAGCAATAAGGAAGTCTTGCTGAAGACCATCTGTTGCAGGAATGCCAGGGGTAAAAGAAACAGTATTTTTATCAGTAAAATCCTGTTCAACTCTTTAGGTTTATATATACAGGATGAGTCAATAATACAGCTGTGTGTTTCAATGTGGATGAATCAGAACAGAAACACCCAAAGGATATTACGTCGCTAATCCAGGCTATAACGAAAGAAAACTTACCACCTGTAAGATGAGATGCTTGAGAATGGCCATGAATAAAACCAGAAATCGAGTGAGAAATGACGTGATCACAAGAACTGTTGGAACAACACCCATCATCAAATTTATTGTAAAACTAAGAATGAAATGGTTTGGTTATCAAATGAGAATGAAACTAACAAATGCCAGCAGCAATAACGTACAACCTGAAAATCGAAACATCAAGAGGTAGGGAAAGACCGAGAAGAATATGGATTGAACAAGTCACTGACACCTTGAGACTGCATAACATCATGGCATATCAAGCGACTGAGCGCGCCTGAGCTCGGCTGCCAATCGTCTGGTGAACTGGGATGCCTAGCGACATAAGCTACTGATAAAAGAAAAGAACCCAGCATAAGTTTTTTGTTTTCGAACTGGCTCTTGTTTTCTTTGTGACTGCATGTCAGTCCTCCAGTTGACTCAGAGGGATGCACGAGACAACATGGAAAGAGAACTGACCCGCCAGCTAAACAGACTTGCAGAAAACAATCAGATCATTCTCCAGTGGATCCCAGCTCACTGCAGCATGAGTTAGCAGGCAAACTTGCTAAAAATGGAACAAAGCAGAAACAACACACCCATCCATTGTTGTTATTAGAAATCAGAACACTTGTCAAGGGAAAATACAAGGAATTGTGGAAAGAACAAACTAACAGTAAACATCCACAAGACCCCATCAGCAAACTCAACAGAAAGCAACATACAACAATTGTCTGCAGGCTCAGTTACCACATGCATAAAATAAAGATTGTACAGTCCTCACAGTGTGCCTATCAAACACCTGAGCACATTCAGCAGACCTGCCCACTCTACATTCAACTTTGAAAAGACACCTGGCCTCAAGAGCAAAGTGCAGAGTAAGCTATGCTGACATGCGAGTTCATAGAGGCAACCCACCTGATGGTCTCATCCGAGCATACGAAACTAAACACAAAGAAGAAGAACTGGCTCTTGCCTATTGGTTTTTTTTTACTTTGTTTGACTTGTGACCGACCCAGTCCCTATGGCCAGACTAATGCAGCAGAGCTACATGTGAACTCAAAAGGCCGACTATGTTCTAATGAGAACAGCAAGCAGCTGAGACAAATAATAGTATGTTACAGCGCAAAATAATTTGTTTATATCCAACAACCTTTCCTTGCTTGAACTCTTATCTGGATAAGAGGTACTTATTATATGAAGAACCATTTCTTGGGTCCCCCGTGAGTTCTCCATATCATGTCTGCACTGTGTTTTGTTTTGTGCATGCTGTTAGTTTGAAGAATTTCCTTAACAATGGTTCAGGGTTACTGACCTAAGGAAAACACTTGGGGGAGGGGGGTCTCAGCCATGTGTTTTCATACGCTCATATTCATTCTTGTATATTCATTCACGTATGTTCATACATATATGTTCATACATGTATACTCATCATACACATATATTCATACTCATATACTCCTACACATATGTGTCAGGAAATGATGGTGTTACATGTCTCTTTTTAGGGTTACACCTAATAATAACAGACACTCTTAAGTGACTTAATATTGAGATGGCGGACTGTGTTGGTCTAGAGGTACTCCGCAGCTTCAACAACCACCCAACATCACTTCAGGGATTAGGCAACTCAAATTATAGGCTCCATAGAATAAAAACTATTGCTGGGCACAACTTGGCCAGACTTCCTCACCACTTGTTAGCCCCCAGACTAGAGAGGATCACTATTATAGTCAAAATAAACACAGTATTGAAAGAAGTCTGAAAATGTAACAATACACCGATGCAGAGCTAGCTAAAAAGAACTGAAATACTGGACACCAACAAAGTTAAATTCATAATAACAATGCATGATGTAATAATTGCAACATTAGTAAATAGTCTCAAAAGAAGGATATAGAAGAATGATCTAAAAAACAGGACAATATAAAACAAAGAACTTCTTTAGTCAAGAATGACTCAGGATTTGCCAAATTGGAAAAAATTATAGTAGAAGGCATGGTACTAGGAAGGAGGGGCAGAGGCCGACCGACACGAAGATGGGCACAGGATATAGGGGACTCCTTAAATGAGAAAATGCATAAGGCGGGAGAACTGGCAAGAGACCGAGTTTCTTACAGGCAGACTGTGATGAGAGCGACGTTCTGCAAAGGACCTGCTACATGACGATGACTGTTGTACCTATCACTGCTAATAATTTAGTATGAGGTTAACATTAATAATAAGCATTAAGTGTCCGGGTGGCTGCACCTTCAAGTTACCACACAAAATATTTATCTGCAGTAATGGACTTGCTCCTCTCCTCAGTTCATATAAAAAGGTAAAAGGTAAAAAGTCGAGAGATGTGAACCAGCATCATTGCACACAGTTATAAACCATAAGTGCTCTGCCACCAGTAAGGACAGCTGATAAGAAACTGTCCGCCTGTGTTGCCGTCCTCACTCAACTCCGTAGCTACGTTCTTCCATTTACCCCAGAGTATTAACTCTGTACCCATTTCCTTAAGGCTGGGTGAACCCTAGGAACCGCCTGGTTTTGAACACAGGCCCCTATCGACTGCGCTAACACGGCCTTCTTCTCAGTTCATATGAAAGAATGCACCACACCTAGTGTTGAACATGCTGTTAGGTAGTTGTTCTTGAAAAAAAATGTCACTGGATACAATGTATCTAATAATAGATTTACTGTTTATCTAATATAGGGATAGATTCCCTTAAAAAAAAAAAAAAACCACAATGTCAAGGAACAGCGTTCCCCTACATCTTTCACTTTTTGAGCAGTAGAGTATAGACCCTGGCTTGGTGGCATGGATGATGATGAATCTACATCAGCTGACACCTGGTAAGTGTGACACCATAAGTCACCTCTCCGAGTATCACCAAAGCGACTGGCCTCATGTATCAACAGGTCCTGGTATACTGGCACTGGTTTGGTGTTAGCTGATGACTTGTATCTGGATGCAAATGATTGACAATGGTTGGGATATATCTTGACTGTGATCCTGACCTAGCCTCCAGAGGATTCAGTACACATCGCATACTCTTCTGAAGTTCCCGGGTGAAACGGAGACTTTCAAAATAGATACTGAAAGAAAAGACATTTGGTCGTCTGCTGGCTCTGGAAGCTGTGTCTAGAATGATGCTAAAAATTCAAACGTAAAAGTCCGAAGCGGGAAGGATTCCTTCCGTGCAACAAAGCGGTAGTTCAGCTAGGGAAAAAAGGCTTCCCTACTCATAGTAATCACCTAACTGCGAGTGAATTTACAATATAATTTACTCCCAATAGAATTGGGATCGAGCAAAGTACTTTTCCCAACATCTTGACCCAGTCTTATCAAAGAAGGACTATTTACTAATGTAAGAAGAATCCATTTTAGAAACTAGTTAATTTACATAGGGGGTGCAGGATGTGGGCAAGTCAATTAGCATAGAGGTGTTCCACTGGTATGTGACTATATGCTCAGACACGTATGTTCATTCACATATAATTATACACATATATTCAGGCACATATATGGATGCACATATTTTCATATACACATACTCAAACACATTTATTATCAGCAATTGACTCACCAAGCAATGCATGCAGCTGTGCCAGTGTAGCAAAAACACCAGAGACTTTTCTGGTTTCTTGTTCAAAATTTGTAACGGACTCTGCATACTTATCCCAGACTGTTAACACTGAAGTCAATAAACCTGCCACTTCCTGTGAATATTCTAAAAACATTATCTGCTCAAAGGAACAAACAACATATTACAACATAATTAAAGAAACTTTCCACACTTCACAAATTTTTTTTGAAGTAAGTAAAGTAAAGTCGGGAGATGTGAACCAGCATCATTGCACACGGTTATAAACCATAAGTGCTCTGCACCCAGTACGGACAGCTGATAAGAAGCTGACCGCCTGTGTCGCCGTCAGCATGTAACTCTGTAGCTACAGCAACGTTCCTCCATTTACCCCAGAGTGTCATTCAGGTACCCATTTCCTAGAGACTGGGTGAACCCCAGGAACCACCCAGTTTCAAACACTGACCATGGCTGCAGTGAGTCGCATCTGGATTTGAAAGCAAGCCTCCTATCGACTGCGCTAACGTAGCTCTTTTTTGAAGGTTATTCATTGGCTTTCCTTTCATCATATTGCAGGTCCTTTGCTAAACATTGCTGCCATCACGGTCTGCCTGAAATAAATTTGGTCTCTCACCAGCTCTCCCACCTCATGCACTTTTCTACCCAAGGTGTGCTTTATATCCTGTGCCCATCTTTGCCCTGGTCAGCTCCTGCTCCTCTTTCCTGCCACCATGTCTTCTGCTACAATTTTTTCCAATCTGCTGTTTAGTAGCGCATCTTCCACGATTTTCAGATCTTTTAAAACATCAATATTTCTTTTCTTTTTGGTCCATGGTATTCTGAAAATCGTTTTATAGCATTTCAGCTCAAAGCTCTATTTTCTTCCTTAATGACTGTGAGATAGCCCACTTTTGTATGTTGCTACAGAAAAGATGAATTTCCTCAAAATTCTGACCTTGAAGGTTTTGCACCTCTTTCCCATCAATGGTCTTATCACAGAATTTTGAGATACTTTATACAGATAGATGAGGAGCGACTGGCAGGATGGTTAGAATACTGGGCTCTTAAGTGTGAGACCTGGGTTTGAATCCTGGATAAGGCTGCTGATTTTTTTTCTCTGGCAAAATAAAATCCTCAGCTGCATAGCCGTGGTAACAGCACTAGCTATGTGGCCGTAAATCATCAGGCCCAAAGACCCCACTGCCTACATCGCAAAAGTGGTATAACAAAGGCAGTAATTGGCAGTTTTATAGACAGATGTCCTACAGGTTAACTCACCTCTCACCTGCTCTCGGTGATCTATGCCTATGTTGATTCACAGCTAACATATCTAGGCGCCATTTATATATATCATCATCATCATCAGGTGCCTTGCCGACTGGCGTGGGCGATCATGCCTCTCCATAATCTGCGATCTCCTGCAGCACGTATCAGTTCGGGTGCCGACACACCTCCATGCCATGCAACAAGACTGTCAAGCATCTTCTCTCGTTGTCTTCCTCGATCCCTTTTTCCACAGATCTTTCCAGTGGTCACAACATGTTCTATTTTCCCTCTTCTGATAACATGGCCGAAAAATGATGACTGTCTCCTTCTGATGTCTGTGATAAGTTGTCTTCGGGCTCCCGCCTCTTTCAAAATCTCTTGGTTGCTCTTTTTGGCTGTCCAAGGTATTCTAAGCATTCTTCTGTAAAACCACATCTCTGAGGCCTCTAAAAATTGTTTGGCCTGCCTACCGATTGTCCAGGATTCACATCCATATGTTAAAACTGGATGTATTTAGCAAGCAAGAATTCTTTTTCTAACTCTCAATGACAAGGATATAAGATGTTTTTCATTTTATAAAATGCAGTTTTTGCCTGTCCAATTCTGATTCTTATTTCAGTTATGCATCTTCCATCTGATGTTATCCATGTGCCCAGATACTTAAATTTCTGTACTTGTCCTAAAATAACACCATTGACTTTTATTACACATTTAGGAATAATTTGTTTCTTTGATACCACCATTACTTCTGTCTTCCCATTATTCAAACTGAGGCCCATTCTTCCAATTTCTAACACCACAATGTCTATCATTTCCTGTAATTCTTTCTGAATTGTTGCTATCAAGACTGTGTCATCAGCATAACGTAAATTGTTTTTATTGTGCCCACCAACCACAATTCAGGGCATATCAATTAAAGATCTCATTATATATTCACTGCATATTGAAAACAAATCAGGTGACAGTACACATCCTTGTCGTAGGTCCCTCTTTATGCTTCGAAATGTACCTAAACAGTTGTTTATTCTTCTAGCTGCTGTTTGCTGCCAATACATATTCTTTATTTTTAATAATAATACATATAATTATAATTTTATAATACATATATATATGTAAATATATAATTATATATAAATACACACACACACATACATATATATATAAATATATACATACATACATACATGTGTGTGTGTGTGTGTGTGTGTGTATATATATATTTGCCCAGCTCTCTAGCGTAGTTGGTTAAACCTGACATCGCTGTGACCGGGTGACGAACTCCTTGTGGTCAGGGATCACTCCTGGGGGTGGGCAGAAAAACTACATTTCTCCCAGATTTATGGTACCTATCATGGAATCAAGGCTGAAAGGTTGCGTTATCCATAGTACCAAGCCAAAAGGTTAAGAATTCATGGTTTCTGGATATTAAAAAAAAATATATGTATATATATATACCAAACACACACTAGCACATAACACAAACCTCAGCACTCTGTGCAGATTCACTAGTCCCATGATAAATCAAAGACCAGTTAGTTTGAAACCTGAAGGAATGCAGAAATTACCATATAAACATTTTAAAAAAGGGGTAGACAAAATGTATAAAGAAAAAAAACCACTCTGATGACCATCTCAATAATTTTTCTATTATCAGAATGTCTCTAAAAATGATTATTTAATTTGAAAAAAAAACAAAAAAAACAAACATAGGTGCCTAGCCACATGTGGATTGGCACCTGAGACCACAGATCACGCCCTCCCAAGACTGCCTCAAATACAACATATCAAGGCAAAACTTTTGACCAAGAGAAACATTGGTGCAAGCTGAGTGAATTAAAAAAGACAGTGAAGTTCATACTACAGACAACATTGCAGATATAGATTATTTCAAGCGAACGAAAGAAAAATATGAAAAAGGTTGATTCTTCTTCTTCTTCTTTCGTTCGCATGAAATAAATTGTCTATATCTGCAAAGGTTGATAATACCTATAAAGTAAATCTGCACCAGCATCAAGATTTATCTGCTTGGAGCTGACATTGCGGGACTGACTGTCTGTTGAAGTTAATGCCCGGATACTGAAAAAAAAAATGTCAAGAATATTTGCAATACATAAATATATAAACATACAATATATCAATTAATTTCATGATCTCATGATCATCTAGTAATGTTTTTGGACAATCAACTAAAACTTAATATAATCAGCAGTTTTCTGGCTAACGGGCCAGTGAATACATTTCACAAAGCCCAGCATACCAAGGTTCAATTGCCGCTGCGGTGCAGTATTTTTTTTCTTCTAAAGACTGTCCTCATGGCTTTCTGACACTGGTAAAAAAAGTTGCCGGTACTCAACTAAAAAAAAAAGGTGCAGATACTCACCAAAGAGTGTATACCTACAAAAGGTGCCAGTACTAAGTACCCTTGCGTATCACGAGAAAAAAAAAAACCCTGGGTGTTGTGCCATGGAAGAGACTGGATCTAGCCATCATTATGGTGACAGTACACAGTTAAAAAAAAATAAAAACATTTAGCATGCCACTACTGTTGGGATGACCTGAAGACTGAAGGTATTAGAGATAGAGGTCGACACCAGATGTACTGGATAATTTGTCAGTGCCACGGAAAATGACTGGTTGTCAAACTTATTAAGAGGATATAATCACCTTAGGGCTCTCCTTCGAACTTCTACCCCATATTATGGCGGCCAAACATATACCCTAACAGGGCCTCAGTCATATGCAAATTGTGGAGTGCCTGTCAAGGAACAAATAGCGGCAAAATTAGGATTGCCTTCGAATAACTGGCCAATATTATCGAGGTTGAACAAATACTCTAACAGGGGCTCAGCGATATGTTAATTGCGGACCTGTTTCTGCGACTATGCTGTACCGCCGGCAGTATTCCCCATGCTGCTACGCGCAGCGCGGATTGGGAGCTAAACTAGATGGCTGGGACTCACAAGCAAAAAAATTGGAGGAAGTTGCAGTAGCTGCCATCTAGTTTAGTCCCCCATCCGTACCGTATGTAGCGACACAGGGGATACGCTCAGCGGTGAGTTAAATTGGAAGAACACTATCGCTAACCTGCGTTGGAGCACGTGGTCTCCCCGCCATTTAGCTATTATTGTGTGTATTGTTGCATTTCTCAAAACTGTCAACGGACAGTAATCCTAGTTTTGCCGTGATGTGTTCGTTGGATGAAGTCTGCATTTTACACATGACTGAGGTAGAGGAGCATGATTACCAACATTACTTTGTATGGCACATTCCCCGTGCTAATTCTGGGGCCCAGTTGTGTGTGTGTGTGTGTGTGTGTGTGTGGGGGGGGGGGAACTGGAATAGACCCACTGTCTCCTCAACAAATGTTGAATGTTGAATTTAGAATCGACATTACAGCACTTGGGACACTCCCATAATTGCTTAGTTCCCATCTTCAGCAGCAAGTGAAGAGTTCCAATTCTGACGATACTAGTAATTGTCTGATTGTATATCTGTCTCATCCTTCCCCTGAATGTTGAGCATTGGCCAGATCCCCTGGTAACTCTTCGAAACGCCATTTTCCTTAGAACGTAATGATCTATCTACGCCTCAGCAGTGTTCACTCGCTCCCAAAGGGCCCTCACAATATCTAACTTGTTATACATCAGTTTACCACCCAGTGGTGCAGAGCTGGCCAGTCTATCTGCCTGCTCATTTCCCAATACACTGGCATGACCTGGAGAAAATATCCAAAGGATGCTAATTACACAAGACCTTTGAAGTGATGTTTGTCACTATGCACGAAGCATACCTGTTTTTTCCTTTCTTAACATGCTCTGTGAGTTAGTTAAAATCACAGCATGTGTGTACAGCTAATTCTCAAGCCAGAGGAAGGCAGCAGAGACTGCCTCTACCTCCTTTCTCAAACTAGACGTTGTGATATCATTTGCAAGGCTTAGCTGCACTAGGTTACCTCCATTCGCCTTTGCTATGAAACCTCATGCACTTCATCTGCCCCTCAACACAGAGCTATCTGTATAGATATTCACATCACTTCAGTGGGAATTATCATGAATCATTCGTTGAACCTGCTGGCCAGTCTCTGCACTCATGACCTAACGTGTTAAGAACCCTACACAAGTCTGAAACTTGTTTGGACACCTTGACCCACTACTCTCGCTTAAAATTATCAAGCCTGCACACATGTCTGATTGTGCCTGCAGCTTGCGCCATCCAAGACCTTCCTCTTATCGGTCTGCTGCCTGAGAGGCAAGAAGTCAAATTTCTGCAAACAAAAAAATCAGATCTGTAAAACTAAAATGCATGTTCTTTAACTGAACTCGACTGGCCATGGTACAGTTCAGTTATTACTATTACAAGATAGCAGATGAGTTGGCAATAGCTGGGAGTAATCTTCCACAACCTCATCTACCACACAGCTACAAGGAAACCAAAACAGCACTAAAGCAGTCTTTCAAGCGGGAGTGGAGAAAGCAGAATAGAGATTACAGACCAGAGAGTGACAGCATAAACAAACTCAACAGGAAAGAACAAACATCAATTTTTAGACTTCGGACTGGACACTGTGGTCTTCGAGCACACCTGTACAGGATAGGCATAAAAGAATCTGCTGCCTGTGATTGTGGAGCAGAAAGACAGACCCTTGTGCACATACTACAGTACTGCCCTTACCTCTCCCAGCAAAGACTATGGATCTGGCCCAGGGGATCCACATTGCGAGAGAAGCTATGGGGGACCGGTGGCAACCTTAAACGCACAATCCTATATTTGACCCAGACGGGACTCAATGTGTAGCATGACTGAACTGATGTCGAACGCAGAAGAAGAAGAAGATAAATTTTAAAAGATGATAAAATTTTTTTTTTTTTAAACTACCCATCGACTATGTCTTGTTGAGCAGTCTGAAACGATCCTTTTAATTTCTTGAAAACGCTCATCCTTATAATCTCTTTCTAGCACCAAACATAATTTTAGAAATCTTGAATAAATATATAAATTTATATGCAAAGTATCATCTGTTAAGAGTCGCTTATCTCTACTGCAGCACCATTTTGCAGTCACATGATATTATTTTGACACGTGACATACAACAAGGAAAACGAAAGTAGGATTCATTCGCGAAAAAGTTCACACTTTATTCATATTAAAGGACACAGCCTTCAAATAGATTTAGGTTTAAATGATGGTTAGTTGTTTGCAACTTATTTACCTAAGATAAAATCAATAAAAACATTGTCACAATGACTTAAAATGCTAAATAAACAAAAGGAAGTGAAGTTGGAAGTTTCCGGTCGTGATGGCCGTATGATCACATAAATAATGTCTTATAGATGGTCGCCCGCTGATGTTTACTTTTAGGCGATCAGTTTTTTACACAGAAGGGCTGTTGTATAGTACTGAGCTTGAGATGACAGGATTAAATAAGGATAAAGTAAATCAGGATTTAGATTCTTCTCATTCACCAGTACCCGCTTTTGCCATTTGCGCCGTGGAGAGGAAAAGTTTGCATTTCTTTGGGTAGCACTTCTTTTTTTTTTGAGTCAATATCAGCTTATGCCGCTAGGCGTCTCAGTTCATCAGATGATCCGCAGCCGAGCCACAGCATGCTAGGTCGCTTGATATGCTGTGATGTTATGCAGTCTTAAGGTGTCAATGACTCCTTCAGTGGATCTTCTTCTGGGTCTTCCCCTGCCTCTTGATTTTTGATTTTCATTCTCATTAGATGGCCGAACCATTTCATTCTTTGTTTCTCAATAAATTTGACAATGTGTGTAGTTTCAACAGTTTTTGTGATCATGTCGTTTCTCACCCAATCACTTCTGGTTTTATTCACATCCATTCTCAAACATTTTATCTCACAGGTAGTTGGTTTTCTCTCGTGTTCTTTTGTTAATGTCCAAGTCTGACACTGGTAACCTAAAGTCTGTATAAATATTGCAATTATTATCATCTTTTTGTGTCTATTATTGGGATAGCAGAGTGCTTGAAAATTGGAGCAAGTTGGTACGTGACATTGTTGGCTTGTTGTATTCGCATTTCTACCTCTATCTATTTTACCAGTGTATGTAAAGATGCGTCCCAAGTATTTAAATTATTGCACTTGTTTCAGACCTTGATCTTTATGTCAGTGGTTTGTTGCTCTCTAATTATTCTCATGATTTCTGTTTTTTTCAAAATTGATCTTCATGTGATGTTTAAGGCATTGGGTAGCACTGACTGCTGTCATTCCATGATTATGATTTAGATATATCTTTAATATAGCTAGTAATGTTCACAGTAATTTCTTGTTCAACCCACATGATTATAATTTGAATATAAAATGTTAATCAATTTCTCATATTATTTAAATAATGTTATAAGTCATGTAATTATTTACTAAAGATAATTATGTAATTCATATTATTATTATGCCTTATATAAAATACAAATTTGGTTTCTAATTCCATACATAAATCATCATCAGTTCTCGTTATGCCTAGTGGCACATGAGGCTTCAGAGAGGACTTTCCATGCTTTCCTGTCCTGTGCAATCTTCAGTGCAGTTTTCCATGTCAAAGATGCCACACTCAGGTCATTTTCTATCGTTCGTCTCCATGTTGTTTTTGGGCGCCCCTCTTTTCTCTTTCCCTCTGGTACCAATGTGACTGTTTTTCCAGGTATATCAGGATTCGTTCTCATAATGTGGCCAAGCCATTTCCATCTTCTCTTGGTTATCATACTGTCTAGAGTTTCTTGGTTTGTGACTTGAAGTAGTTTAGTGTTTGAGATTGTATCTGGCCAGAAAATTTTGATAATTCTACGTAGACATGAGTGGTGGAAGGTGGACAGCTTGTTTACATCCTTTTTGGTCATTCTCCAGCATTCTGCTTCATAAAGTAGAACTGTCAAAATTATGCTCATGTAGAGTCGGAGTTTTGTTCCTCTGCAGTAACTGTTGGATTTTCAGATTTGCCTCATCCTTCCAAAAGCAGCTCTAGCTTTCTTCAGGCGTGACTGTATGTCTTCCTCTGTCCCTCCCGGTAGGGGCACCACACTGCCAAGATATGTGAACTGTTCTACATTTTCAAGTGATTGGTTACTTATGGTCACTGGTTGTTGGTTTGGACTGTTTGTCATGACCTTAGTTTTCTTTGTATTTATTCTCAGTCCCACCATTTCTGCTGTGCTGTATAGTCTGTTACTTTTCTCTTGTATATGTTCATTTTTATGTGACAGGAGTGCTATATCATCTGCAAAATCAAGGTCCTCAAGCATGCCACAAATCTATCTTTTCATTGGACGCCCTCTTGCTTTCACATCAGATCTGCAACTTTTAAGATGTAGTGTCTGCTCAGTATCTGTAGTTATTGTGGCTGTATTCTGACAAGATGATCAGACTGTTTGATCTTCTGCTTCTCAATGAATTTGATGCGAGGTATTGTTGCCAGTCGGTTTGAGAAAATCATTTCTGACCCTGTCTCAGCTGATTGAGTAGGCAGCTTTCCTCGCATATCTCGTTTCACAGGTGATAATTTTTATGTTAGTGCCTGTGACAGTTTTCCCTTTGGCACTGATAACACAGTTTTGGTATGAATATGCTGTTTTTAATCCATTTCTAGGTGGCCACTTGGTAAATTTTCTCTTATGACCTTATTTCTGATTTTATCTCATCTGGTCACTCCTTCAGCCCTTCTCTGACATATCATTTTGATGGTTAATAATTTAGACATAGACTAAATAAGATAATGTTTATAATCTAATCTTGTCATTAATGACAGGAAATACTGTGTCTCAAAGAACCGAATACTACAGTGGTTATGGCTTGGCACGTTTTGAGACTTGATGGATGAACTGTGGCGAAGATCACAGTTTGTTGTTTACCTGTAGTCCTTGAATTCATTCAAGATCTTCAGATTGAGTCATAAGTAGTCTAAAATGTAAGTAAAAATTGTTAGGTTGTGAGTGTTTCAGTGCCTTTAAATCTAGTGACTCATAATCTCAACTCTTACAGTCTCACGCAATATGTGATGTATGATTTGCTCTAACCTTTGAATCTCAAACATCGCATCAGATGTAGATTTTGGGATTCGTCAAAACATATACAAAGAAATCATCCCTAATGGCCACTTTTATTGTGTATTTTGTCTCTTTGAAAGTAATGCACTTATGATGTTTGATATTCATGATGTACCTGTTGAAAACAGTCAGACGCAGACATTTTGAAGAGGCCAAATAAAAAGGGAGTGGCTGAATTAAATATAAAAATGAAATGAAATTATTATTAATATATGCCATATGAAAAGACATAAACTCTTATCAGAACTATACTGGTGTAAAAAGTTGAAGGCAATCAGATAAGAGGCAGACAGTTATACAAATGGGACGGTAACATCAAGAGGTGGATGAACAGCAGTCTGAAAGTGTACATCAAGGGCAAAAGTCACTCCTCTTCTACCTTGGGGTGTAGAGGTTTGCGAGAGATCGCCATAATTCTCTGTCAGCAGTTTTCTTTTTGGCTTTGTTCCTTTCGAGTGTCAGTTAGGGACTTTCAAATGTTGTCTTTCTGGTGAACCCTGGGTCTGGATTTGTACTTAATGGAAGGACTTGAAGCAAATAATGTAAAGCCTAAAGGTGAGGAAGTGTAGCTGAGAAGTATAGCTCATCTTCTGACATCCTGAGGGTTGCTGGGTATATCCTGCATTTAATCTTTTTTGACATATATGGTTGTTATTATGCAGCTGTTGTAGAGCAGTTTGTATGTAATGAAGCTTGGTTTATAACAAGAATACAAATAAGCTAGATCTGGATTCAAATAAGCCAGATCTGGATATAAATAAGCCAGATCTGGTTTGTAGGTAACAATGAAGCTTGGTATATAACAAGGACGTTTGTATGTCTACCAGATATAACAGAAAGTCAAGAAGATTTCCACCACAATGTCTTCTGGAAGTAGTCTTGTGGTTCCCATGGTGCTTTGGGGCCGCTATGCCCCAACCCACTGTGTTTCGGCCATTTTGATGACGCCAGATGGCAAGTACATTGTGACCGGATGCAACGATGGCCAGATTGTTGTCTGGGATGTTCTGGAACATTTTCAGGTAGGCCTACATTGATGTGTTCCACTGGATCACTTTCTTAATTTGCTTGTTTTGCTCTGTTTCTCTGTAAGTAGCTATGTATAATGTATTAATGTATAATAGCTATGTATAGCTGTGTATATCATGGATGACTCAAGTATGAATGCTAGAGAACATTCGGCGAGGAGAGGAGTTTTACCTTTGTGGAGCTTTTGAGGAGGAGATCGGAGCACCTATGGATCTGTCCGGAGTGCTGTGATGATAATCCCTTCTAATCACTAATCACGGAGTGGAGAGAATGGTACAGCTAGGAGTGAGCAGGGGATATATCTGGTTGACACTTCACAATCAGAGGAAAGGCAAAGACGGACATGTGATCAGACTGCTGCTAACACCATCGGAAATTGGAATTCTTCACTATCTGCTGAAGAAGAGGACAGAGCACTTATGTGATTATCCCCAGGGCTGTGATGTCAGTTCTTTGCTGAACACTCTGTGAAGTACAAGGCAAGCTGAGAGAGATACAACACAAAGTCCTCAGTACTGCCCAGGCTTTGTGCTGGGAAAAGGGGAGACCTTCATCAGCTTAAGCTCGCTGGCTGTGGTTGCCCGTCACCATTGACTGTGATTCTTTTGTCACACTATATCACAGTTTAACATCATCTGGATGGTCGGAAAGATGCCAACAAAACTACATGTTGCTACAGGAAATATATTTTTGCCACTATAAATGATGTCTGTTTCTGGTTGATCGCTACAAATTATTTCTATATGTCTCTTCCGGTGGATCACTGTAAATTGTGTCTATATGTCACTTCTGTGATCACTATAAATTATGTCTATATTTATCTTTCAGCTGATCACTATAAATTTGGTCTTTAACTCTTTGAGTCCCAAGGAACGCATCATACGTTCATAGGTTACTGCCTAGAAGCCCAATGAACGCATGATGCGCCGATTTTACATCTCTCTTGACTACCCCTTGGGACTGTGATGCTAAACCCTCTGGGACTCAAAGAGATATGTCTCTCCCATTTGATCACTTTAATATGTGTTCACCATAAATTGTATCATTTTTCAGGTGGCCGCCAGAAACATGTTATTTGGCCACACAGCAGCAATAAGTTGTCTGGCAATGGGAAGTGAACATAGAGAGAGATGTTACATCGTTAGCTCTTCTGAAAATGGGTGAGCATATCTTTAAACATATTCTATAGACTCTTATGATACCACAACATTTTGCAACAATCAATGCAGCATTACACTGGCTTGTGCGCCAGATGCACACACATGTTGTGACTCACAAAGCGTGCTGAGAAAGGTGGTGACAGGCATGCTGCTTGCAGAGTGGCTTCACAGAGCTCAAGTAATTATCATTTTTGGGATCTTTTTTCCATGTGATGCAGGTGTGTTGGAAAATAAACATGTGGATGTGAGGCTCACTGCCGCTTCCCATAATAAGCTATGTTGGATCATTCAGCCAGTTGTAAACAAGTATGTAAAGGGCTTGGTGTGTTAGTTGGAAGCCTGTGCTCCACTAGGAGATCAAAATACAGAAGAAGAAAGAAGAAAACAGCAGGATATTTGTCTTTAGCGGAGGCTAAATATTTTCTTTACTTTTAAAATCAGGTGCTTTTCTGCCATAGTGAAAAACACACAACACAGTAACGGTAAATACAAACGCTGAGGACATATAAAATCTATAGCACTGACCTTAACTGTGCCACCTCATTAATGCTAAAAACATTGGTCATGGATCCTGGGAATTCCCCAAATTTCCCCTTTAAAAAAAAAACACATTTTACACAGGTTACAAATCGTGTAAAAAATGTATTTACCTAAATTTTAATTTTTTTTAATTGTAACATTTTTTTTTTTTAAATTTTGTTATTTTTGAAATATATTTAAAAGTCATCATCTAGCACTTCCTTTGCAGAACATCGCTCTCATCACGGTCTGCCTGAAGCTCTCCTGCCTCATGCACTTTCATACTCAAGGAGTCACTTATATCTTGTACCCATCTTCATGTTAGTTGGCCCCCTGCCTCTCCTTCCTGGTACCATGCCTTCTGCTATAATTTTTTTTCCAATATTTAAAAGTAGTAATCACAAATAGAGAGAAGCATCAGATGGAATACATTCCCAGGTCTTTAAATAAGTATCCATGGACTCATTTTGTGTCCCATGACATCCATCATTGAGTTTGAAGGAGAATTCGATATCACCATGGGTTTAATATAGCCATTTGGTTCACAAGAAAAACCCTAAATGATATTTTTAGTAAGTATATTTGTATCCTGACCTAAATGCCGCACAGGTGTCAACACAACTAATAACATTAAGTAGGCATCACCTAAACAGATTACTCCAGAAAAGTCAGTGAAGTGACATTTGGGGGGGGGGGGGGGGGGGGTATCTGTTTTGTGGCTTCTTTGGGTGGCAGGGTTAATCTTGAGAAGAAATTGTTTCTCCTAGTCTTCATCTTGCCCCAAACTACGCACCAGAATGGCTACATTTTTTGTGGCTTCTTTGAGGCACAAATGGCTACATTTTAGAGCCACAAATAGCTACATCTTAGAGGCACAAATGGCTACATTTTAGAGCCACAAATAGCTACATCTTAGAGGCACAAATGACTACATTTTAGAGCCACAAATAGGTACATTATAAAGATAAAAATTATTAAACCTTGACACCAAAATAATGCAGCCACTACAGAGAGATCAACATACTTAGACTGAATGGTTTGATGTGAGATGATCTAATTACCATATTTGTCTGTGTTATAAGACAATATGTTTCTCAAATTTTGTAAGTTTAAAATGGGGAGCCTCATCTTATACACGGAGTGTGTTTATAAAATGTATTTCCTAATTGTGAGCTTACAGAAGTATGGATCTTATCATACGACACATATGATAAGATCCATTTATCTGTAAGCTCAGAAAAATCTGGCAACTGCTTTTATGTTTTTCTTTCAGGGAGATGTGTCTCTGGGATGTCAGTGATGGCCGCTGCATTGAGAATAACAAAATGGACAAGGTTCACTCAGATATTGCAGTATGTAGGCAGCACTAGTAGTGCTGCTTCATTGTTAATTTTATTCTGCTTTTGTTTTTTTAATTGTTTATTGTTTTTTTTTAAATCTATTTGTCTAGTTCCATTTTCCTTCCAGTTATTCATCACGATAAAGTTTTTTTTTTTCTAGTTGTCTCTTTACTTTTGTTTGTTCTCTTTTCAGTTCTGTAATCTTTCTCTGTCTCTTTTTATTCTGTAACTCTTTCATTTGATAGTATTCTGTTTTCTTTTTTCTGGTAATGTTTCCTTTATTTTATTACTATTTTCTGTTATTGCCTCTAATTTTTCCTTTGCAAATGTTATATTGATTGTTAGTATATTTGTATCTTTAAAAAACATTTGTCAGAAGAAGAAAATACTGCACAGCGGGAATATACACAATAGAAGTCTATCAGGCATCAGTAAAGATCTCAGTTCATCAAATTTGTCAGCCGCTTACACCTGTACAAGCCTATTATTTAACAACTTTATGCGGCAAAGTGATTTGATGTAGAAATAAAATAAGGCAAGATGGCCTCCATGATTATGGTGATTGGTTGTAAAACAGTGACAACAGTAGTTTTTTTATTTGAACATGAAACCACCCTGTTCAGTTGACAATAAACGTATACTTTGAGTAAATATCCACTGCAGTATTTATAGTTAATTATTCGTTAGCTTTAACAGGATTATATAATTAAACTGTCCGCATGACCTAACTAGTCTTAGAATGACATGAAACTTGCTAGACCTTTTGTTCTTCAACCAATGGGCCAGTATTTTCATAGCTTGTTTGTATTTCAACATCAGATGACAAAATGTGTTAACATTTATGATACTTACCTCAACTACAATACAGTGCATGTTTTTTTAAATATGCATGCTTGTACAGAGAAGTAAAAGCTGTATACACAAGGGAGGTGAATGGTTGTAGAACATGAGGCAGACTAAGAAGAAGATGGAGAGATAATGTCCAGCCAGACCTGCAAATACTTGGTGTTGCCAACTGGAAAGAGAAGGCCAACCAGAGAGATGAATGGAGGCACTGATATCTGCAGCAGTGAACCTCAAGGGCTCGGAATGCTGAAGAAGAAGAAGATGCTTGTAGGTGCATACTTATTCTTGGACACACATACAGATTAGAAAGAGTGTATACTATCTTGCAGTTCATCTTTTTCTGTGTTTGCTTATCTTTAAAGTGATGGTTGTTGGCGCATTGTGTTGTAATTTACAGCTAGACTGTGATATTTGTGCCTTTCAGCCCAGCATATCCAATCTCCCCCCCCCCTCCCCCCCCTTTGAACTAGGCAGTTTTACATTTGTACTTTTGTGACACAGTTGTATCTTCACATCCCCCAAGAAATAGATGTGCCTAATTCGGACATAGTGTGTTATGGATATAGTTCATAGCTCTTGAATTGTACTCAACAACAAGTCAGTGATGTAACAAGTTATTCCAGATCTGATTGTTTATTTCCACAATATTGTCAGTCAAATAGTATGAGTCATTTCATTTATACATGGTATAACATTCTAGTCTTATTCTTGGCTGTTCATATATCTGGCGATAAGTTCTTTAATCACTCTTCTAGCAAAACTCAAAGTTTAGCATATCTTCTCACAAATGTTTTCTCAAACGCCCTCCTAAGCGGCTAGCCGCTAACTGTTCTCTCCTCCTCGCTCAGATCTCCTCACTCCCTTTCCTTACTCTCTCCGCGTGGGTTTTCAATCACCCCTCTCGCCCTTCACCCACCATGTTATCATCTTCAGTTGCACGCGTGCATCGCCCGCTGCTCTCGGGCACTCGTCGATCTTCTTCTCTCTCGTGCATCTTTTGGGTCTCCTCGTACGTTTTCATCCTTCACTGTCAGATGTCATGGTTTCATTTTTATAACCGTACTCTGTTCAACACTGGTCACCGTGCAGATGTTCCTACGTACTTTCCCAAAGATTACTGGTTTATATATGTGGCCGGTCTGGCCAACGTTCTAATCACCGATTTCTGTCATGCCACCCAGTGATGGATTGGCATGCCTTGATGGTGGTCTGAATGTATGCATTCTTTGTTTAACCCCTCTCTCAGCCTTTCTATTTCACTTCACTTTGCTATTTTTTTCTTAAATGATGATGCTCATTAGTTGTCAAAATCAACAAAGTGCAATCTACTGCCAGTTAGTCGGCAGGTCAATCAACAACAGTTCATAAGTATGTCAGAATTATGAAACTACCCCCCTAACTCCTAAGCTGTTGGCACTGACATAGTTATCCTTTTCTATTTCACAATGTTTAGATCATTATGCTAATGATAATTTTAGGCATACCACCTCAAGTCAGCTAAAGCCTTGCGTCTTGTCTGCAATGGTTATTATGATGAGATTGTCATCATTGACCCCTTGAACCTGGAGATTGTCTACCTGCTTGTGGCCAGGGTAGAATCGGACTGGATCAGTGCATGCTGTATTATCACTCCACCAAACAGAGATGGTGAGTATTCCTCGACTTCTTTGGGTTCACCAGCTCTAAACTCCGGCGGAAAGCTTTGGTTGTTTGTCTACCTCTGGTCTATTTCCAGAACCTGAGTGTTGCAACCACACAGTGCTAACTTATTTTTTTAAAGTTAATTCAGAAGAAATTTAGGTGCTTTATTAATATCCTACCTCAAGCAGAGTAAATCCACAGGTCACGGGACAGTCTAATAATTCAGCGGGTGGTAGAAAGGCTACATGCAATCGTGGAACCTAGGTTGCATGCATTCGTGGGACCTAGGCTGCGCTCTCTCTTGGGACATATTTGGTTTGAGGTTAGGGCCAGTTCTAGATGTTTTGGCTTCGTTAAAAGCGCCAGAAAGCCGGGAAACCCAGTCTTACCACCCTCTAAAATGTTGGACTGTCCTGTGACGTCATCTTGGGGTAAGATATTAATAAAGAACCAAAATTTCAATCTGTATTGAAGCCCTAAGCATGTCCTAAGTGGAATAGAAATTTTAGCATAATGATGGACAATACTAGACTTGAGAAACAACAGAAGACAGAGACAAGTGTGTGTACTAAGCTTGAACAGCTTAGCAATACATTTTTAAAAAACCCTTTTGCCTCCATGAATGCTTTAAACAATGGGTTTAAAAACCTTGTAGAAATTTCCGGAAAATCTTTACAACAAAAACCATATTGCACAGGTCACTAGTAATTTTGCTAAAAATGTGTTCATCTACATGAAAAATCTTTCCCCCCTGAAATATACAAAGATAAATAAAAGGGTAATCAGTAAACACAGAGCAGAGCACTAAATTGAATCTGTTACCTGGGTGGCCTGAAAAAAAAAATACTTAATGTATCAGAGATACACTATACTCAGAGATGTGGTTTTACAGAAAAATGCTTAGAATACCTTGGACAGCCAAAAAGAGCAACCAAGAGGTTTTAAAAGAGGCGGGAGACCGAAGACAACTTATCACTGACATCAGAAGGAGACAGTCATCATTTTTCGGCCATGTTATGAGAAGAGGGAAAATAGAACATGTTGTGACCACAGGAAAGATCTGTGGAAGGAGGGATAGAGGAAGGCAACGAGAGAAGATGCTTGACAGTCTTGTTGCATGGCATGGAGGTGTGTCGGCACACGAACTGATACATGCTGCAGGAGATCGCGGATTATGGAGAGGCATGATCGCCCACGCCAGTCGGCAAGGCACCTGATGATGATGATCAGGTGACCTTTGTTACTGCACTCATAAGACGAAGTAGAAAGATAAAAGAAAATAATATAGAACTACAAATGTATTGCTCTGCACTCATAGAAAGATAGGATAGCTTTCCGAAGCCTCAACGGTTCCCCTTCTGTTTATTTATGTGTATATTGGAAGGAAAAGTTGAAGGTAAGTGAAAAAAGGGGGTGAACAGCGATACAAGAGGTAGAATAACATCAAGATATGAACTAACATCAATCTGAGAGAGAGAGAGTACAACGGGGTTGAGAGACAAAGCATATTTGAAATCCATAGCTGTCGGCTTTCTTTGTGGAGGTTGTACTTGATTGATTCATATTTATTTAAACAATGCAGACACAAACAATACATTGCACAATTTATTGCCTGGCATATTTCGCTGTATCTCGTCAGGTGCGTTACTACAGTTAAGTCACCATATTAAAAAAAAGCACAAAATGAATCCTTTTGTTGCTGAAATGCACAAACCACATTGTTGAGTTGCAGTACATCTCTGTCTGCCAGAAATTCAAAATCAGTTTTGTGATTACCATGGTAACTTCAGATTGATCATGTGATCTTTCTGTTTACATCACACAGGATAGTAGAGTTTTATTGATACAGCCTCATATTTATTTTCTTTATATGGCTATGTTAGTATTATTTACTGTCTTTTGAGTGTTAATTTCTTCATTTCTTCTTTCACTATATACAGAAATGATGCCTGATAATTTGTTTTGTTATTAAAAAATGCATAAATACATTCCTTAGTGTTTTTCAGTTATTTTAGTTTTGTTTCTTTAGGGAAGCAAAATCCCAGAAAATGAGTCGAAGCAGATTCGATGCCTAAACGCACAAACCCTGCGATGCTGTCCTGGGAATTTGCGAACAGTTCTCATTGTATGCAGCAAATACTGGCAGGTAATCATGCTTGTCTTTATTACAGATTTGCCATCGTGGTGTTTCGTTATCTTTACAGATACCAGTTTTGTGTGTGAAAAGAATAGATAAGAGCTAAAATAGAATATGGTTTTGTTATAATGAGTCATCTTTTCTTTAAATTATTTACTTCCTATATAAATTTTCATATGAAGCTATTGGGGAAAGTATATTTATGTATTTATAATTAAAGGAAAAACTACAAGTTCTTTGTGCCAGATATTTAATGCATTATAAGTCAAAATAATCATCAAGACAGTTATTAACTAGAGACATATTACCAGTTGGCTAAAACTTTTTTTCTCTCCAGTGATTATGCCTTGCCAGGTGGGATTGACTATACCCATTCAAATGTCAATTGTTTTTAGTTTGATTGGAGACTTTAATTGTGTTTTTATTTTTGTAATGTGCAAGTGATGATTATTTTGTGCTTTTTCAAGGCAATGAATTTTCTTGTGCATATGTTTTGTGTAAATTCTTCCATTTATTTTGTATTTCTTTCTTTCATTTCTTTAATACGCACTTCTTTTCAGCAAGTAAATTTGCTCTGTTAATTATACAACTAATTTTACAATAGTAGTTCACCTAAAAAAAATTTTTTTAATTCAGTTAACCTGAATTATATATATATCTTTTAACTCATTCAGTCCATACTATGTTCAATGATGTTACTAATCCCAACCACAGCTTAAAAAAAAAAATTCTGTTTGGGGTCTCAGTGGCTAAGTAGTCTAGCCACTTATCTTGTGCTGTGAAGGTCATGGGTTCGTATCACGGATGCATCATTCAGCTGAACCACCCACTTTTTATGGAGATCCCTAATGATCGATACTGGAGCTAAGGGCTCTGCTTTGTGTTCTGCCAAGAGAGACAAAGCTGTATGAGATAACCTGGTGCAATGAAGCCAATGCTTTTTATTTTAACATGAACTGCAGTTAGTTTTTAACGTCTGTTATATTATTCTCTATTATAACCTAATCGAAAGTGCAGTCCAGATTTTTTTGCATAAGAATCAGACAGCTCACAATAAACTGAAGCAGATTTCAGTGGCCCAAAGTTTTATGGAGCGAGTAAATATATGTTAACACACTTTTACGTTATTATGATATTAATGTTTCTAATACTATTACATAAAAATCAGTCCTAAAATAAACTGGTGAAGATTTTTACTAGTGCATTCTTTACAGTCCAGAGATGAACTCCATCTAGACTTATAAATAAAAGACATATTAGAAATATAATGCTAGACTGCTTTTAGACTACTCGACTCTTGGTGGCTAACGTGGTCAACATTTTGCGGGCCATCTTTACTTCCCCGGACTTTACCCTGTACCTATTTAAGACTGAGTTGACCTGGAAGTAAAGGTCATATTTGGAAGAAAAATCCAGCTGAGAATGGATTTGAACCCACAACTTTTGGATGTGCAGGCAAGAGTCTAGCTGCTACACGGTCACGGATTCTGTTTAGTAACAGTCTGATTGTAAATCCGTCTCCCCCTTTCCCTGAATGTTGATCGTCGTACACTTTCCCAGGTCACTCCTCGCAACACTGTTCTTCTCAGACTGATGATCCATCTGTGCCTTTGCACTGTTCACTTGCTCCCCAAAGTGCCGTACATCTGTCAGTGATTGTCAGTGAACTCTTTGAGTCCCAGGGAACGCATAGGTTCTTACCTAGAAGCCCAATGAACGCATGATGTGTTGATTTTAGTCTCTATTTACTACCCATCGGGCCTGTGATGTTAAAACCCTCTGGGACTCAAAGAGTTAAACAGGAGATCACCTCATTCATAGTTTGTTGCACATGAACAGTAGCTGATAACGCATGGTGTGTTTGTTGGGACTGAAAGGGTTACACCAACTAGTTTAGCTTGAGTCACCAGAAAAGAAATCTTTGGGCTTTTGAAATTAATTGTTGCCCAAAAAAAAATTCCCAGAACATGGTGGATCATAAAGAAGAAAAGTATTGACATTTGGCAGGATCTGAATGTCGTAGAATCTGTAAAGAATTATGTAAACCCCCCCCCCCCCCCCCCCCCCCCCACACACACACACACACACACACAAGCTTGCTGTAAAAGATGAATAATCAGGGTTTTGCAGAAGGGTAAAAATATCACAGTCTAGCTATAAACAGCAACTTTGCTGTAAAAGATGACTAATTATGGTTTTGCATGTGAAATGCAGCTGTTGCTTAGAAAGAAGAGTAATGAAATTAATAGTTTTTGGATGGAGAGACGGAGAGCGGGCAGCACTAAGGTAGACTCAGGGAATTAGTTGCATCTTGGGATGTAGATTCCAGTTGGTCATGACAAAAAATGAATTTAATTTCCTATCAAGAAGTTTTGATGACATTAAAAAATGGTAATTAATACCATTTTATGAAAGATAAAAAAACGGGTAGTCATGTTATTATTACTTTGGTTTTAATTCCAGAAACTTCTGTATTTTTTTCTTTGGCCTGTTATTAAAGAATATAATTACCCTTCCCAGTATCCATCTTCCGACCTGCCTCTTCACACATTGCTGAATTCGCAAAACCTGCTTATTTTGATCATGACATTTATTAATTTTTCATTGCCTGTGAAAATTATCTATTTGAAAAGAATACGGAACTATAAAGGATTGTAAACTTTGACCTGTCATGAATTTAAATTGTTAGCTAATTAGTAGCATATCATCTTCACTGCAGATAAAAATCAGTTAAAAGTCCAGAAGTACTGAGATCTTCTCCGCAGTATATCCTACAAGATGTAACAGCTCGTGACACTATTTCTGTGTTTATTTGACTTTGCACGTTGTGCTCATGTCTGGCCTTGCCCCTTTTGAAACGAATTAATAT